ATAGTTGCCCTTTGTCCTGAACAAGCACTGCAACAGGTTTTAATGGACCTCAGCCTTCCTCATTATTTCTCATCTGAATGGCCTCCATTTGCAGGCAATTTGTTCAAACTGAGGTCAGACGGTAATTCCAACCTTATTACATCAACATAACAGGAAGTCCAGTAAAAAGAATAATACTAAGTACACCATTTAAAACCCACTGACAGTAATGGTATGTGAGACAACATCATAATACTCAAAAAGCAAAAACCAGGTCAGGTTTACAGTATACAACATGCACAACAGGCAGTGGGGCCTCTCAGCTCCAGCTGAAACACCCCTGAAAGGAATGGTGACAAAGTTGCATGCTTATAATGAATGCTTTGGTTTTTCCAAAAATTCTGCAGTGATGTGTTCATGCAGCAGGACAGGCATGCTTCATCTTTTTCTGTCAAAATAGTCACAAACAAAACCACCTAAGTTAATTTTCTAAATACAAGCTCCTCCCTCATTATCAAAAATGAGCAGAAAGCAATGCAAACATTCCTGCCACTAAAAGCTCACACACAACCCCTATCGATCTCTTTGCTGCAGCCCCACTTCCTGACTGATGTGTTGCTGGGGCGACAGCTAAATTATGCAACAGCACTGCCTCAACAGACGAGCTTCGGTGCCTGAGCAAGAAAAGCAAGGCTCAAAAGTGGCATTTGTTCCCGTAGCTCGTCAATAACAGATGCCCAATTATCCAGAGGAACCAGGTTTGATCCATGGTGGTCTGCTTAGCTACCTCTTTACCTCTTTTATTTGCATTCCTCACACCAGTTGGCAAATATGTTCTGTTGCACTGATTTGATAGGTCTGTAATAAAAAAGCAACTGGGTTTCCCATCTTTTAGTGGTCTCCAGAACTGAGCCTGCAAAACGGACCGTGCCAATCCAACATTAGCATGACAGCTCATCTACAGTATATGACAAAATGAGCAAATCAACAACAATACTGAGTGTGTATCACTAAGTGATAGTAAGTCTTAGATTAGAAAACAATAATACTGCAAATAATACTACTAAAATATACAGAATTACACTAAATGTATAATTCTGTCAATTTAATGTCACATGCATATATTTGTGTTTTAGTCATCTAACATTGTAGAAAAACAGGAAAAGGAAAATATTTAAGCTCTATAACAACTAATGGTAAACTGAAATGTAATAGCTATGATCACGGTCTCCACTTTGCCTTTGTAAGCCACAGGTCCACATTTCACAGAAAAACTAGAATGTAACTGTAAAACTTGTAAATCATACTCGCCTGACCTAAATTAAATTGCAACATCCAGTCAAACCAAATAAAAAGCAACAAATTTTAAAGCAACGAGAGAACAATACATGCACTAAAGGCGACAACAAACCTCTAATAATCAAAAGAGATAAGAAAAGAGATGTCTATACTGTATTTCAGAGTGTGCAAAGAGTGTGGTAATGAATGGACTGGATTATACAGGTCACAGAGCCTCCATCTCATGGCAAAAGAAGCCTGAGTGCTGAGGCCGGACGGCTGCCAGCCCATTTCTTATTCTACACTACACCTTCATCCATGCCTGAGTTCGACATTTATTTACTCTTCTATTTAGGAGAGGGCCGAGGTCACCCTGAATACATCACTGACACAAAAACACTAGTTAACAAGTCTGTCCACATCCATCTGGCCTGAATTGGACATCCGTATACATTCAAACAGACAGGAGTAATCAACAACAAAATGGATTAATAGAATACTCATCAGTCAGATCTCGCTAACAGATGTGGCTATTCTCATTCAGCTCTGCCTGACATCATTACAAAAGCTGCTAGTACGGCAACATGCTCATTTATTCAAAAAGCAGTTCCAGTTATGTGAGACTTTGTTGAATAGTAAATGGACATTTTACTATCCTGATTTTATCACTTCATTGCTCTGGATAACATCAGGAGTCGAACCTTTTCTAAATATGGTTTGCTATGCCTCAGCCACATGGCAGTATCTCTGCACATAAGAGTGCCTTAGATAAAAAACCCTTACCCAATGTGACTAGTACATGAGACACGGACACACGTTAAAGTAAAGGGTCTTCTGTGCAAAACCCTCTGTAGCTAGTCCTTGTACCTCTTCTTTCACTGGTTTTAGAACATAATAAATGCTTTCCCCTATTATTTTAGATGGTCGGTATTTGTGGCATCTGCCAGGCTTGTCTCTGGCCCCTCAAAGACAATACCATAAAAAACACATTGCCAGCTTCCACTGAACCCCTCCCCCCTACAACAGTGCAACCTGAAACTGCCTGAAGAGATGAGCCGTCATTAAATACTGCAGAGCTGACATAATGACAGGAAAGATAAAAGAGAGGAAACAAAAAAAAGCCAGACCAATTCTCGTCCCATAATGCCTCCCCAACCCCCAGGCTCTGCCCGCCTCTCCTAATAAAAGACACCAGGCCACACATAGGGCACTGGTCAGCTGCAACTTGGCTGCTACGATCAGGCAAATCAGACAAATCCTGCCCCTCTCACAGTAAAACACAACACCGTTACTTCTGGCACTTACGATTATAAACAGTCGAATCAAAGTAGAACAAGCGCCCCAAAGTCTGTATGGTGGGGATACAGTAAAGCATTACTTGTTGCTTAACTGCTCCAAAACAAATTTGGAAATTAAGTTTAGAGCAGTCGTTTCCTTCATCTGTTCACCGTCAAAGCCCCTCCCCTTGCATCCACAAATAATTGCTTTTCCTTCACATGAACAACCCATGAATACATGCATGAACGGACGGAAAGAATGATCTCCTAAATCTTATCGGCACCACTTTTCAGATCAATCAGTCAGACGTAACAACCACATTGAGCTGCATTATCTCTGGTTTATGGATGAAATGTCATATTTGTGACAGCTCATCAAGTAGTTTTGTTCTGATTAATACAACTGTGTCAAAGTCTTCTTCAAATATGGGAGAATTGACGGAAATGGTGTTTGGTCAGTCCGAGGGTAATCTTTCATATTTGTTATCCTAAAACACTTTTTTAGCCACTGAAGGTGAGCGAGCTCAACTTCACAGTTAAAAAGTAAGCAAGCAGTTTAAAGTGCCATGTGGAAGTGTTTCATTAGTATTCGGTCATGTTTTTAATTTTTAATTGTCAATTAGAAAAACACACCTGCTATATTTTTAAGGAGGCTGTGCAAATCATGACGATAACAGTTGTCTTAACAAAAAAAATTAATATATATTTTTTTTAATTCTTCTTCTTTCGACTGCTCCCTTCTTCAGGGGTCACCACAGCGAACTAAGTCACACGAAGACTTAGCAATTATTTTTACACCGGATGTCCTTCCTGACACAACCACAGACCACCGAGCTACCACAGCCCTCTGTGTGGAGCAGAGAGCTGCTATCCAGGGCACCCAGGGGAGCAGATGGTGGGGGTTAAGGGCCTTGCTCAAGGGCCCAGAGTGGGGCAAAAGAGGGTAGAGGCAGGTGTGAGTGTTTCACCTATCCCACTCACATTTTGATGTTGTCTGGACTGGGAGTTGAACCAGCGATCTTCCAATCACAGGCCCAACTTCTCTAACATCTGAGCCACCGCTCCCAGTTATCTTAACAAAAGAACAAGGTTTAATGACTGTAACGTCTTATTATGAGACGCCTAGACTGAGAGCAACAACTTTTGGACAAAAAAAGAAAGAAAGAAGAAATATATGTTGTATCCGTCAACAAGTCCCCCAAGTTTTCCCTCACTCTAAATGATTGTTCTATTTAATTTTGTTGTTTAATAAAGTTTGTATGATACAGTATAATTATGATGTCCTTACAAGCTGTTCTGTAGCATCTTGCAGTCCTGAGAGCAGAGTAGAATAAACACTTTAAAACTGCTTTGTTTTACGTATGTACATGTGGTTTAACAAACAGTGCACAGGAATTGTATGTTTTTGACATTTTCAGTTGAATTAAAATCTTGTTCCCTTCTTTGGGGGGCATGGTCCACAGTCTGGTATCAGACAGCCCCGTGGCCTGAACAACATTCACATACAGTACATTTGACTTTAATAGACAGTGATAACATCCCAACAGATGTCAGCCAGGTTCTTTTAGCTCACTGATAAAGCACACTTATCTTGTCATTTGATCCATTCCTGCAAATCTGCATCCTTTTATATCACTTACAGGCACCGGAGCGCTCTAACTCGCTGCCTCCAAAGCTAAGATGCTAAACCACATGGAACTTGGCCTGACTCCTGTTGGCATTTCCGTGCTCTGTTACACTGTGCTGAGGCAATATTTACCTTCGAGGGAAAGTTCACTTGGCACACAGCCGAAACTCTTGGGGTAGAAAGAGCAGGGGGGGCGGGGGTGACAGGCTGCTACTGTGTACTACATCCAACCTTTTCACCCACCCAAAATCATCAGTCTGACCCGGCAAACCACCCACAGCCTCACAGCAGCAGAACTGCCCCGCCTAACTCCGCTACTTGGATCGGAGCCAAACCAAAGCCAGAGCAAAGCGCCAAGAGGGACAAAAGAGCAAAACACACACACTCCCAAAATATGAGCGCAAGTAGAGAAGCAGTGAGCGTAAACATGTTGCACCTCAGCCTGGCCGTCCGCCAAGACTCACTCAGGAGGCTTTTTTCCTTCACCACAAAAGCCAATCGGCGGTCAGTCCCCTGCCGCGATTTGAAGTGTTTTACAAAGATACTGCTGAAGCAGAGCACAGCTCAGTCAAGATTAGTCAGCACTTCACAGACGGGAACTTGGCAGAGAAATCCAAATAACCTCACAAAGTTTAATAAAGGAATGGCCTATTTTTAGACCATTAATAAGGATGAGTCAGGCTAAATACAGTAAACTATTACTACTCCTAATAACGCTTTATGAGAACTTAAGACTGGAGAGGAAGAATTAAAAAAAAAACATAGATCTAAACAATATTTAGAGGGGGGGAAAATAGATTTATTGTTATAAAGAGACGTCCAATGAAAAGTATACTAACCTGTCTGAAGTGATCATCATATCCCCAGTCGCCTTGTCCATTCGGAGAGGTGGCAGCGTTGGCCCCTGCAGGGGACATCCCCTCATCAGGTTCCTGCTTCACTCTGACCGGAGGGGAGGCAGCCCTCTGGGGGGCCGACACAGAGTAACTTACAAACGGACGGGCGGGGATGCGAGAGACGCTCTGCTGCAAAGCGAGGGTCTGCTTGCGGAGGAACTCCAGACCACTGGCGCTTCCCTCGTCCTCGTCACTGCCCTCGTCCCCCTCCATCATCTCATTGTCATCCTCCTCGTCCCCAGAATCTCGACCTCTGTCCTCGTCATCTTCTCTTTCTGAGTCTACGCTGCTCTGGTTGGAGACTCGAGGGAGCAGGCTGCTGGCAGGATGGCCTCCGGGCATGCCTTTGCCCATGAAGCTGGCCCCGGAGGCTCGGGCGGCGGCCAGGATGGCCTGCTGGGCAGCGACCTGCTGGGCGTACATGATGTGGGCCTCGCGTAGCTTCCTCTCTTTGCGCTCCATTTCCAGACGGGCCTGCTGTTGGCGCTGGAGCTGCTCCATCACCGCCTCCAGCTTCATGCCACCTGAGGAGGCGTTCTGGGGGAAAGCCACACCGGGCTCCTGAGACATGCTTGGCTGTGGCAGAAAGGAAGAAAGACACGTTGAGACTAATTTGTACACATAAAAGTAGCTAAAACACATGGTTTTCACTCGTTTCATGTAGTAAAACCTGCATTAATCTCTTATAAACAGGACTTATCTATTTGTTACCTTTATGCTAAGCTGTCATGTGTGTAAATGTAACTTCTGTGTGAAAATGACAAGTGTCAAATCCACACACACACACACACACACACACAGAGAGAAAGCAGGGAACCTGATGGACACTTTGAATGGCGGTGACACGTCGGTGCAGACTATGAGAAAAGTCGTCGTTTCAGTTGTTTTTACACCAGAGACATTTTCAAACACCCTCCAGTAAAGCAAACACCTTGTTGGTAATTTAAACAGCAAACAGCCACCTGAGCAGGTGGGGGGGAACTAACGTTAGAACAGTTAAAGCAGCTCCTCCCTGAAGGTAGCTAGTTAGCTCGAAATTAGTGGAAACCCGGGAGCTAAAGGTGAATAACATGCTAACACAGCCCGAGCTTCATTACAGGTTAATAACGGACAATTAGCCGAGAGAAGAGACCTACCATTACCTGGTTAAAGTTTGTTCTCCTCTTTTACTTAACTTTCAGGAACTATGTGTAAAAAAAAAAAAAAAAAGAGGCTAACTCTTCACCGGAAAGTGAGTAAAAAAAAAAAAAAACGGTTAAAAAAAGAGTTTTTATTTTCCAGCTCGATGCCGAGCAGGGAGGCGCGAGCACCACTCACCATTTGTGCCTTACTGCTGCTGGAGTTGTCCACCATCCCTCCTTCCTTCACTTTATCCTCCTTCTTTCGTCTACTTCTTCCTCCCCTCGTTTCTGGCAGCCGTTCAAAACGTTTGTAAACACACACACACCGGCGGGTGCACGAGCGCGCGCCCCCGCTCCGCAGACTGCTGCACGGAGAGCGATGAACGCGGTGGGATTTCTGCCCGTTTCCCCACACTTTTTATATATTGACGCTTTTATTTGTCTTTGATAGGTGAGAGGACAGGTTGCTAACAGCTCGATCGCATGTCTCGGGAAGCGCTCCTCCCTGTCGTCCCCCCCTCTCTCCCCTTGAGGTGACCCCCCCCCCCCCCCCCCCCCCGGTTGCACCGCACACACCAGCGTTAGACCCGCCCAGCGACAGCAACAAGTATTTAATGACACTTTTGAATACCTCTGAGTTACTCCATGTTTGAATATGTCAAGCGTTTTGAATGTATAAAAACAAAACACCGTGCAGAGCACTGAACGATGCAGTCATGATGAGCGCGTGCGGGGGATCCAAACATGTTTGTTGACGCGTTTATAGACAAGAGTATGAGACGTTTTCGAGAAGGCTTCGTAAAATGTTTTGGGTTACGAGAAGGTGTTTTAAAGCAGATGCCAAAAAAAAACAAAACAAAACAAAACAAAAAAAAAAGAAAACCGGGATGGAGCGCAACAGGTAGAGGACTCTGCGCTGCTCTGGTGCCCCCTGGTGGAGATAAATCGCCACTACGGTTCAGGGTTTGGGGCTTTTTCTGTCTCCCTGACTTGATCCTCCTCTGTCACATCAATCAAATACATTCATGACAACCCTCCACCCACCCCGACCCACCTGTCTCTCTCTTTTACATACACACTATTCAATTCAATTATATAGCACCAAGTCATAACAGAAGCCATATCAGGGCACAGAACTGAAACATTCATATACATTAAAGGCAAGTTAATAACATTATTTATCTGAGGAGCAGACTGCTTTGAGTCTAACTTCATCACAGACTCTCATCCTGAGCAAGCCTAAACACTCCCTGCTTCGACCGGCTGGGTTTGAGAGGAACAGATACACAATGGCAGGTCGAGAATCACATTAAGATAGAAACAGTATCAAATGAAAACTATTTGTAATAATTCATTTTAAGAAATGAGGTCAATTTGTCCTCCAGTAGTCTAAGCCTATGGCAGCATAACAAGCCAACCCTAACTATAGGATTTATCAAAAAGGAAATTCTTGAGCCCAGTCTTAAAACTGGACAATGTGTCAGCCTTCAAGACAGAAACTGGAAGTTGGTTCCACAAGAGAGGAGCCTGATAACTGAAAGATCTTCCTCCCATTCTGCTTTTGGAAGCTATAGGAACCGCAAGTAAGCCTGCAGTCTGAGAGCGAAGTGCTCTGTTAGGAAAATATGGAACAAGTATGGAGCTAATGGAACAGATTGTCGAGGGCTTTGTAGGTTAGAAGATTTTCAATTCTATTCTGAATTTAGATCACTGTTGTTCACTTTTTTTAACCATGTTTGAAACACAAAAATAATCTTGCCTGACCTCATCTGTCAATCTGTCGCAGCTACTACCAGCTTAAAACCTGTAAAATGGACTGAGTTGTGCTGGCTAATGTCAGTTAGCTGTGGCAGCCATCTTGAATTAGTTTGGCTCCAAAAGTAGACGCACACCCACAGATAATTTCCTGGACGTTTCTTTAAAATTAAAGTTGTTCACGGGACCTTTTGCCTCCAATTATGCAACATTTTTTAACAAAGATGTTGCACCATCTTTTCACTCTCACATCTGTGAGGAATAAATCTCAGCTACTACCACCCCGAATCACTGGTCCATTATCTGTAAACGTGACAGGGTTCGAGCCGTCCTTGTGTCTGCTGTGGCGGCCATCTACAATTTGGACTGACTCCAAAAGTTGTAGATGTGCATCAATTAATTTCAACATCTCACTAAAAGCTATCCAGCAGTTCACAAGATATTTTGCTAACAGACACGCTCAGATAGGGGCAAAACATTATCATCCCTCTTTGCCATAACACAAAATGATGAAAACAGCGGAAAGAACGCACTTCACTGAATTTATCTTTATGTAAACATTAAAGGGGTACAATCAAACAGAGGAGTAGTGTTAGTCGTAATAAAAACATTTAGTTAATGCACACAACAGCCATGTCACAACAGTGTACAACAGATTGTCCAAGTTGTTGCATAGTACAGGTGAGTCAAGTGTGCGGCTACTGGCCACTGGTGTTAAGTGCAAAAAGATTTATCTACAGTGAAACACAACGCAGAGCCATAACCGGGTTCGATAAGCCTCATAAAACTCTTCTGGTCCAGTTCAACGGTTCTGCTCTACTTGTTTGATATGACTTCCTTTTTTGTTCATTTCCATTAGCTCCAATAAAACTATAAAACAGGGCTACTCAACAAAACAGCTCCGGGGCCGGACATCCAGCGATTAAAGTCATTATATAAATAAAAGTTTTACAATTATCTGTTACCTTTTAAATTTATTACATTAAATCATAAATGCAATAAACAGAACCCCCCCCCCCCCCCCCCCCCCCAAAAAAAAAAAAAAAAGTTTTAATGAAGTGGGCCGAATTGAAGTCACCTGCAGGCCGGAAACGGCCCGTGGGCCGCCAGTTGAATAGCCCTGCTATAAAATATTTTAAAATTCATTTCTCAGTTCGGTGTTTATGAACTGCTCCCATGTCTGAAGCTCCACACTTCATCCTGACATGCAGAATTTTCCTCTTCGAGTCATGAAATGATTTATTAATGTGCATAAATGTGTGTAGCTAAGCGTGAAAACAATAACCTGGCAGGAGAAATAACGCGTTTTGTTTATATTTATGCCGACTTAAAGGCGTAATGCACCGGAGCAGCAAACTTTTTTTTTTTTTACTTTACAAATGTTTGTAAAAGGCAAATATATCTCTGTGCACAAACACACACAAATCTCCTGAGAAGGTAAACACTCGTGAAAGTTTGTGTTGGTACGGTTTCAATAAATCCAAATAAAGTACTGTAGTTTTCGGACTATAAGGCGCACTTAAAAATCCTTTTTCTCAAAAACTGACAGTGAGCCTTATAATTAGGTGCACCTTATCTGATGTGGTTATTGTGAATGAGTTGAATAAAGTTTGATTCATCGGACGGTTTCGCTTAATGCGCCTTATAATCCAAAAAATACGGTAAAATGTGATAAATGCTGTTTCAGTGCACAGAACAAAAAAAGGTTGCTTTGTTCCTTTATGGTTACATCAGTAACATATGAACGCCAACAAAAGATCAACTTATACATGAGCTGTAAATAACTTGTAACAACTATTGTAACGTAAACATAAAATTAGTACAAAAAAAATAAAGAAAAATCTGACTTTTCTTTGGAGTTATCAGGTACAGCACATTAATTCTGGCCACAATAAAGAAGACAAATCTACCTTTAGATTTTCTCTCATCCTCTAAACATTTGACTAAATCAACTATTAGAAATGTTTTTAATTGACAGATTTATATTTTCTATCAAAAGCAAAAGTCAATGACATATACGTTTTTTGCCTCCATTTTTTTAAAAGAAAAAATACTGCAGATATTGTATTTTTTGGAAATAAACATACAATGCAAAGATTGTAAAGTCAAACTGTGGTAAAATGTAAAGTATTTAGCATATGATTTAATAATATCCTTACATTTTAAGCCAGTGATAAATGTAGATATATTTAATCTGTTAATACCTTTAGCCACGATTTGCTCAGTGACCGCTTGTACAAAATGTAACAACTATTTTCTGGATGGTAAGAAAAGGAGAATTGACTCCTTCACCAGGAAACAAGAGCACAAGTGGTTTTACCTCCAAACCACACATCTTGTTCCAGTTCAGTGTTCTGCTTCTGCTCAGCCAGGAGCTTCAACATGCAGCTGCTGCTGTAGCTAGTGTCACTCCGAGTAAAACTTAAATGTTGCTTTTGATGCAGGAGGTGAAAGAAACAACGCATAAAGAAAGAGCAACACTTCATAATCGTGAGATTTCAGTGGTAACTTAAAGTTACTACAGGTTTTTCAGACAGCTTACACATTAGCTTAAAGTTATTTATAAGCGTGTTGTGCTTATAAAGTTGCAGACCTGACAAAAATAAATACATTGAGCAGCTCTTCCTCGAGTCAACACGATCGTAAAGCTCGTGCAGAACGACTCGTTTTCTATTCAGAGCTGCTGTTCTGTCTGACGCTGCAAAAACAAAGCGGGTTGAATAAAACTTGGTCTTTGGAGTCACAGTGGGTAAGGCTTGCTCTCATGTCCACCTGCGTCTTCTTTGGGGCCGAGTGTGTTCCTGCGTTCAGAGCTGGACGCCCTCAGGCAGCACGCAGCAGCTGGGCTGGGATGGGAAGAAGGTCGTCCGGTAGCGACAGCTGAAGCCAGCTGAAGTTAGAGCCGAGTCCTCGTTCGGTCCAAGTCCCAGCAGCACCGACGTCACTGCACGGAGCACGACGGCTGCTCGCAGCAGCAGCACACAGAGGAGCCCATGGCTTTGGGTGGGATCAAGTCCAGGTCTTCGTCGTCGGGGATCTCGTCCAGGCGGTAACCGTCCTGAAGCAGCTGCCTGCTCAGATCAGGATGGACCTGGAGAAGAACAGAGACTTCACTGCACGCAGCACAGAACAGCTAAACCTGACTGATATCCAGTATTCCAGTATTAAAGTAGGACACGAAAATGAAAGTCAACTTTACCAACAATTCTTGAACCCATTAATTCAATTCTGTTTATTTATATAGCACCAAGTCACAACAGAAGTCGTCTCAGGGCTCTGAACAGAAACATTCATATATGAAAATAATAATTTAAGACTTTATCTGAGGAGCAGACTGCTTTGAGTTTAACTCCATCACAGACTCTCATCTTGAGCATGAAGGCAACAGTGAAAAGGAAAAACTCCCTCATGAGGAAGAAACCTTTAACAGAACCAGGATCAGGACTAGCGGCCATCTGCTTGAACCGGCTGGGTTTGAGAGGAACAGGAAGGAGGAACGGATACACAATGGCAGGGCGAGAATCACGTTAAGATAGAAATAGTATCAAATGAAAACTAGTAAATCTTAACAGTTCGTTTAAAAAAATGAGGTCAATTTGTTCTCCAGTAGTCTAAAAAGCCAACCCTAATTATAGGATTTATCAAAAAGGAAAGTCTTCGGCCCAGTCTTAAAACTGGACCATGTGTCAGCCTCATGGACAGAAACTGGAAGTTGGTTCCACAAGAGAGGAGCCTGATAACTGAAAGATCTTCCTCCCATTCTGCTTTTGGAAACTCTAGGAACCACAAGTAAGCCTGCAGTCTGAGAGCGAAGTGCTCTGTTTGGAAAATATGGAACAATAAGATCTCGAATACAAGATGGAGCTAGGTTGTTGAGAGCTTTGTAGGTTATACATAACATTTTGAATTCTATTGTGAATTTGACAGGGAGCCAATGGAGAGAAGATAAAACTGGAGAAATATGATCTCTCTTATTAACTCCAGTTAAGACTCTGGCAGCAGCATCTTGGATCAACTGAAGACATTTTAAAGAAGTATTTGGACACCCAGATAATAAACCATTGCAATAGTCCAGTCTAGACGTGACAAATGCATGAACCAGTTCTCCTGCATCATGTTTAGATTAGATGTTTCTAATTTTAGTATATTACGCAGGTGGAAGAAGGTGGTTCTAGTAATATTTTTAATGTTGGGGATAAAAGACATGTCCTGATCAAAAATAACACCAAGCTTTTTATCATTAGAGCTGGAGGACAGATTAATGCCATCTAAGGAGGGAGAAAGACTGAAAAATGTATTTCTAAGATTTTCAAGTCCAAAAACTAAAACCTCAGTCTTGTCTGTGTTTGAAAGCAGAAATGGTAGGGTCATCCATGTTTTTATGACTTTAAGACATGTTTGTAGTTTAAATAGCTGATTGGATTTATTGGGTTTCATGGACAAATATAACTGTGTAATATAACTGTGATTAATCCAAAGAGAAGTGTGGCCATAACCAAACACACGATATCAGCTCAATATTCACTGTGGAGCACGGTGGTGGAAGGTTAGTGATCTGGACTTGTTTTGCAGCCACTGGACCTGGACATCCTGCAGGTATTGAGTCAATGATTCCTTTCATTTACCAATCTGAACATCACCAAAACAAAGACAGTGCAGCTGAAGTAGTAAAGAATTGAGGTGTTGTAATGACCCAAGTCGAAGCCCAGACCTGCATCAGACTGAAATGCTGCCTGTGAGCATAGAGCTGTGCATAATCTCAACAAGCACAAAACAGGACGGACTAAATTCTAATGTAAGATCTGCTAAATGTTCAGACAGACAACAATGTCACAAAACCACATATCTGAAAAAAGCCAGAGGCTGAATGCACGCTACTAAAAACAACAATAAGAAATATTGTGCATCCCAACACCAACACTTCTACTCACCGTTGGAATCTGGCTCATCTGAAATCACCGCAGGAAAACTAAATCTGGCAGCGGGTCGTAAATCTGCTGTTTCAATTTACCCAAGCTACTGTTGAGCGCTTTGAGATAAACCAGTTCATCTAAACCGCCTAATATTTATTGTACAAAGAAGCACCCTGCAGTATCCTGTGAAAAATAATCTGTGGAGTATGTCAAATATTTACTTTGAGATGGTTTTTGAAAGATTAAAAAAAGGTGAGGCATGTAATGACCTACATCATTTGTGCTTTGCCACAGTGTTGTGTTAATGAACAGATTATGAAAGTAGCAAATGTTTATTAAAGCCCAGAGTGATAAGAAGACAGATTTTCTCCCACACCCATGCAAAACTCGTCACGCAGCCAGTCTGACGAAGCGTCGGAAGAAATTCAAAGAAATCTGAGAAATGTTCTGTGAACCGAACTCACCTCAGCCGAAGAGTATCCTGAAGAATACTGCTCAAAGTCGATCTCTTCATCACTGTGAACAACAGGAAAGTCAGATGATATGATCCCATCAGGCCAACTTTTAAAACAAAAACGCGTTCAGGGACAACATCTTTATGAGCTGGAAATGTTTTACGAGTCCAACTGGAACTGCTACACGTCTAATCCGTTTCGTTTACAGAAATCCCATAAGATGGTTTCAGTTAAAATAATCTCCATTCGTGCAATAACCTTTGCAATAAGAACAGAAGCTGAGATTTTTCAATGTTTAATCTGTGCACTAAGACTACATAAACAGACTGAATGGTGATCCTAGAGCGCACTCCTATAGCAAACCCTTTAGTTTAACAGTTTATACATTTATTTGGGACTGGGCGAGGCACTGAAGCAATTCAAAATGCAAGCTCATGTTTAGTTTTGACCCATTTTACGTGTTTTCTTCTGGAAGAACTGTTGTCAGCTTAGCTCCCCTGTTGGAATCCTCTACAGGTAAGATACTGACTTCCCTTTTATTAAAAAACAAAAACCCTTGAAAGTGTAAAAAAAAATACATATACTGTGAGGTAAGAGCAGGATCTCAGTACAGTTTTTAAAGCTCAGGTCATTGATAGCAGTAGAGGTCAGCCATGTTGCTTTTGTTTTGTGACATTACCTGTCAGAGTCCAGAGCTACTAAAGTTTCATCAGCCTGCTGACTCAACGCAGCGTAGCCCTTGTTGTATTTCACTGTTCTACAAGAAAAAAAGGAGGAAGAGAAACATGTGAGGAAAGAAATCTTCCTCTTTAAAACGCTGATGTCACAGAACGTGGCGTCCTGATTTCCCATCATGCTTCCCCACCTTTTAACTCCTTGTCTGACCGGATGAGTCAGTGGAGGCCCTGATGAGAGCGCCTTCTTCTTCAGGGCCTTCCTCGCCATCTCCCTGTGTTTTTCTTTGGATTATCAGAAAACGGATCAGACACAAAATGTACACAAAGCAAAAGCAACTACACTAAACAAGGACAAACTGGTGTGATTATTAATAAAGCTCCCCAATTAACTTTCTGCGTTAATCATATCTAAAATCTCAGGGCAGGCCATCTCGACTTGTTCGAAAAACATTCAGCGCGAACGATAATGTGTTGGCCTTAAGATGAGGACGGAGAGTTCTTACACAGTCCTCATCAGATACACTTGTCACAAACAACACCACCTTCCTGAACAGCTGTTTGACCTGGCATCAAAATCCAACCAGAACCTGTTGATATGACAACTCTGCTGCACCTAGTAAAGACGAATCACCTAATCTGAGCACGAAAAGAATCGGAAACAATTGATTAACAAAAAATAATAAATCACCTGTTTTGTACTAAATGACTGAAGCTGTTTTAACAACCCACTGAAGCGGAGTACTGAGTACGTCCTATGTCCTAATCAACCGCACATCACAGACTCAAACCACAAACAGAATCATTTCCACTAACTCCTTCCTCCATGTTGAAATCATCCTGATGTATGAATTTTATCTGGCTTCATGCTAAACACACACAGGAGTTTAGTCTCTTGTTCAAACGTTAAAACAAATAATTCACTAAGATTTTCTAGTCAATCAAATCCTGACCACTAACAAGCGTGTCAAGCACCGTCCACAGATATGAAGATTTTACAGCCTTGATTTGATTACCGTAATTGCCGGTGTATTTTTTTTTTTGTTTTCCCACATTTTGGACTCAGTGGCTTGTACACAGGAGCAGCCAATTTATTTATTTAAAAATATATATAAAAAGATAATAATAATAAATAAATAAATAAATAAAATTAAAAAAAATATATATATATATATGTCAAGCTTCCTGCCGCCAAATAACATTTTCCTTTGACACTACTGCGCGCTCATATAGCTGACCAACACACACCCCTTTAGGGGGCAGGTTTTTGTGACACAGACAGTAAATGCCACAGGTATTCATGACAGGTCGGGTTAGGAGTAGTGTAAAAAAAAAATCCACTATCATCAACGGATTTTGAAAAGCTGGACTCATGCATGACGAAGAGAACAGCTCAAGGGAAAGTGACGTTGACAACAGGGACGTCTGTGATCAAGTTTTTCTGAAGCTGTTCAGCTCTGACACTGAAGAAGAGGACTATAGTGGTTTTGGTGCACAGGAGGAAGATGAACTACGGTAAATGACAAGTGATTCATCCTGGGAGGCTATAGGTACTTTAATTTACCAGCCGTGTTAAAGACATTGTTCAGAAAAATAACCATTTACTGTACGAAGCATGTGTGTGTCACTGGTATATAATTAAAATAAAGGTTTAAAAAATCTTTGTGTACGGTAAATATCTTCAAATATCTCATATTAAGCTCACATCCAAACAAATTAAACAGAGAAATAAAGATAGAAGGGGGGGGGGTCCCCCTCTTCTGGTGAGTCATGTGACTCAGTCATATGGGCTCCGCAGTAGGAGTCACGTCAAATTTATTTAGAAAGTTCGTTTAAAAACAGCAGATGTTGCCAAAAGTGTATAACAATAAAAATCAATGGTAGTAATTTAATGAATATTTACCGTATTTTACCGGTACTATTACCAGTACTATGTGACTGCCGGTCACATGACCTCGATAGAGATTGTGGGTAAAATTTACTGGGATTTTAATTTTTAAATAATTTCGGTTACGTAGGTGTTTAGCACCGTTTTCTCCAGCGATTACCGTGGTGTTCTGCTTAGACTAGTTTTTGTGGAAGGTCTAATGGTTATTTACCGTGGTAGATACCGTTTTTTTCAATCATTCAACCTTTATTTAGACAGGTTAATCCCAATGAGCCTCAGGAACTCATTTACAAGAGACCTGAATTCTTAACAAAGAGTGATGACAGCAATGGATAACGACGACAACAATAGACAGTCATAAAATAGGCATACAAATTTAAGTTACTCTCTTTCTTTTTTTTAACAAATCGAAACAAAATAGCAACCAAATGGACAATCAAGAGGAATAGCGGCAAAAAACTGTAGATTACCGTTAACCCGGAGTCAGAGAGCAAAGTACGGTGAAGTCCTGTGACGATCACGTGTTCCGTTTGTATGTTGAAAACAAGTCAGCGTCTATGAAACGCCATCTGGTGGTTGATTCTTGTACTACAACAAGAGCTGCACATTCTAACAGGAGCTGTGTACAGAATTGTGGACACCCGTGGCATATACACCGGTGCGTCTTATTTATGATCAAAATTGTGTTCTATTGTAAATGTACTATGCACAGCCTACAGTTAGGTGCGTTCTATAGACCGGCAGTTACGGTAAGTAAACAATAAACAATATTTCGATAGCTGCTCTGGAGATTGCTTTCCATGCACACAGCATAATGCAATATTCACAGCCTGATAACGCTTGAGATGAGGAATTACTTACGTAGTTTGAGGTGGATGGCTGGAGGTCTGGACATGATGTAAGGTCCTCTTTTCTCCACCGGCCTGATGCCTCCATCTGTGGTTTTAGGTCTCGTGCTGCTGCCTGGTCCCTGAAATTTGAAAAGGTGAAGAAAAAAAAAGACTGATGTTCATGCATGGAAGACGAACAAATGAGAATAAAATCACTAAGAAGCTGAAATATTTGTAAACCATTGCTTTGACCTCCAAAATAAAAGCCGTCTGAGCCTTGAGACCTAAATTACGCCGTTTATAAGCCAGTGAAACAACGTTTATCTTTTTTATTAATTTAAGACTAAATTTAGGTATGTTACTATTACTGGGACAGGTGAGTTCATACATTTGACTCAGAATAAAGCCATCAAAAGTCACATCAGACATACAGGACTCGTTATAAAGAAAGTGGGAATTTAGTCTAAACCCTTTCACATCCTGAGCAACTTTCATGACAAATTGCAAACCAGAAAATGTTTTATGAAGCCCCGAAATAAGGATGATCTAACCCTGTCATCCAGAGAGGTTTGTGTCTTTTATTCCTCTAAAATTGCACAACTTCCTTATTTTTCAACCTATATTAGCAAAAAATGGAATAATTTTGTTTTGCCATTTTTAGCTGCACCCAATTCTCAAAGTCCGAATACGTGGTCACGTGAACATACTGTATGAGGATGACGTAATGGTCTGGGGGAAAAGTTGATAAAACAGTGAGACGTTGCTGTGTGAATGATCGTACGTCTAACAAGAAGAAACGGAAAATATTTGATAGTTTCTGTCTTCCAGACAGAGAAGAGAAAGCTGCTGTAGACTCTCTTTGGTCACCATGTAGCATGCACAAGTACCTGTTTTTGGCACATTTTAGTCACTTTTTATTTTTTTATTTTTGTTACTTTAAAGTACATACGCAATAATTATATAGAGATCAATACATCTCTATTACCTCAAGGGAATATAAACCTGAAATACACAAAACAAATAGTTAGAAATACATCATGCTGAAAACAGGGATGTGGCGAGCGGACAAAGCATTTTATATACGTGTATTAGAATATTTTCTCAGTTCTTTGACACTTGAACGCCATTTATAAACATTTTACAGGTAAGTGTTATTTTAAGTTTATTTTCAATTGTTTAGTAAGTGCTATTCAAATCAGTGTGAATTGACGGTCTTCGTTTTAGCAGATTTTATAAACATACGGATGCTGAATATATTAAATATTAACATTTAAAGAAAAGCTTAGAAAGTTAGGCTGTTTTTAGGTCTTGTTCTGCTGTTTTAATGTTTGTTAGGCTGTTTGCAAGTTTTACTTGGTTGTTTTAAGGTTCGTTCAGCTGATTTTAGGTTTAAAATAGCTCGTCTGAAGTTACTTAGGCTGTTTTTAAGGTTTGTTGATTTTTTATTATTATTATTATTTGAGCCATGCTCTTTGCAGCATTTGGTTTGTTTCAAACTTTTTTCTGTGCTCATTTTACTTGTTTGGTTCATCACATCTACTTTTTTTTAATTGCAGCTTTTCTGCACACTTTAGCTGTTTTAATCTAATTTAAACCATTTTTTTCTTCATCTCGTTTTCCAGTAATTATTTATTCATTTATGGCTCTTTGTGCTTCATCTTTCAATTTTTAGATATTGATGTATTTCAAGTAAACTAGCTTTTTAAGCAGCTTTCAGCAAAATCAGCAATCAGCGTTCACACTGCAATTTCACAGGAAATGCAATTTCTCCAGTTCCAATTTGGGAACTTTTTTTTTTTTTTTTTTAATATAACGATATGGATTTAATGGATTATAAAAAGTCTATCTTTAAATAGAGCTGATTTTTTTAAATTATTTCAAGACCCCAACTTGGTTCCAAACGACCCCCAAAGGGTCCCGAGCCCAACTTTGGAGACCACCGACATCACGTGACGAATAACGTTAAGTTTTAAGGTCGACGAGACTAAATAAATAGATGAGGAAAAGGAAGAGACCCCTTTGTTTGAGCGTCATTGTGTCGCATTGTCTCCAGGGATGAACTTGTAGATTTAACGAGTAAATGTAGAAGTGGAAACTAAAAAAAAAAACCTCTGAGGACAATCAGCAGAAAAATAAAAGTCACACGTCACTCATCTGCAACTGAAGCCACTCTCAAAGTACCCTGAAGCCATGAGTCTGTTCTTATCTCTGTGTGAGCTGTCAGTCATGCTAAGCTAACTAGCCCTGCCTTCCTGTTTGTAAGCTAAGCTCCGGTCAAACGAGCTGCGGCACTTTACCGACAAAACCTGTTGTTCCCGCGGAGAATCCAGCAGGGCGTCTTTTTCCGGCTCCTCCATGATGTCGTTCATCATCTTGCCTCTATTTGTCACAGTTTACAGCCAGACTCAGACATGACAGCCGTCCTTTTCAGGCACAGTGAGGCACTTCTTCTGTTAGCCAGCAGGCTAACTTCACTCAGCTCAGGTTTGTGCTTCCGGTATGACCGAACCTCCAAATTAAAACCCAGAGCCCCCAAAACAAGTTTGATCAACACCCTGTCCCAAAAACACGAAGAGGCAATTATCTGTAAACGTTTTTACAAGACAACTGTCTTCCAGCTGCGATACAACCAGCTTTGATGTCTGCACACCTTCAAGTATGTGTGCATGTACCATATTTTTTGGATTATAAAACACACCGGATTATAAAACTCAATATCAATGAACGGGTCTTTTTTCATACATAATGCACACCGGATTATAAGGCATATTAAGCAAAACAGTCAGATAATTCAAACTTTATTCAACTCATTCACAATAACCACAAAAACAATCAGCTTGAGGTCAGTAAACACAGATTAATACATAAAGACGCACCGGATTATAAGGCTCACTGTCGAGTTGAGAAAATTAAAGGATTTTAAGTGATCCTTATAGTCCGAAAAATATGGTATGTTCTCACTTAAAGAAAAATACAACGAAGGTGGTTAAATATAATAAAGGATTGATTTCATAGATGAACAAGGTGATCCACTCTTATTCTTCTCCAGATAGGATTTGTAAAATGCTAGATGTAAATTCTGCACGAACCCTTAGACCACAACGGCCTTGTGATTATAAATTGCTCAAACTATATTTTACTTTACGTTTCTGTAGCATTCTTGCGAGACATGCCAAATAAAAACAGAAAAACTCTTACGTCCGTATGCTCTTTGTGGACTTCACATCTGCCTTCAACACCATGATCCCCCAAACCCTGATGGACAAACTATCCACACTAGGACTAAGCCCCTCGATTTGCAACTGGGTACTAGACTTTTTAACAAACAGACCACAGTTAGTGAGGATCCACAACTTCTCCTCCTCCACCATAACCCTCAGCACTGGCTCTCCTCAGGGATGTGTGTTGAGCCCCCTCCTGTTTACTCTGCTCACGTATGATTGTGCAGCTACCCATCCAGGCTATCACATTGTAAAGTTTGCAGATGATACAGTGGTGGTGGGATGCATCACAAACAATGATGAGTCCAGCTACAGGCAAGAGGTGGAACACCTGGAGAGCTGGTGCAAAGAGAATAACCTTCACATCAATGTGAAGAAGACAAAGGAGATGATTGTGGACTTCAGAAGGAACAAAAACACCTACACCCCCCTGAACATAAGAGGATCTGCGGTGGAAGTGGTCTCCAGCTACAAGTACTTGGGTGTACACATGAATGACAACCTCAGCTGGGGCAACATCACCACCAGCCTGATCAAGAAAGCTCATCAGAGACTCTACTTCCTCAGACGGCTGAGACGAGCTGGTCTGGGAAGCTCAGTCCTCACCTCCTTCTACAGGTGTGCAGTGGAGAGCATCCTGTGCTCCAGCATCAACATGTGGCATGGAGGCTGCACAGCTGCAGAAAGAAAAGCTTTGCAGAGAGTGGTGAAGGCTGCACAGAAGATGTTGGAGTCAGTCTCCCCACCATCACAGACATCTACACCTCCAGATGCAGGAAGAGGGCCACCTGCATCATGAAGGACCCCACTCACCCAGCACACACACTTTTTGCCCCACTCCCCTCAGGAAGGAGGTTAAGGAGCATTAAGTGTAGAACCACTAGACTGAGGAACAGCTTCTACCCTGAGGCTGTTAGACTCATGAATCTCTAACCAGAATAATCACTGTGAAAAACCATATCATGTTGCTGCTGATCTGTTTCATGTTGCTGCTGATCTGTTTCAATGTTGATGTGTTCATGCGTGCACATCTGCTCACAGACTCATGTTCATGTTTGTGCTGATGTTCAATGTTTTATGTTATGAGTGCTTAGTGTATATTTAGTTGATGTTTTTCTCAGTTCATATCTTAGATGTTATTACTGTTTTTCTTATACATTTTATTGTTGGATGTAACTGGGACCCCGTGTACATAATTTCGCTCCACCACATGTACCACATGAGGTGCAAATGACAATAAAGAATCTCTGACTCTGATAAAAGCAGTCATTTCCATTTTTCTTAACACGTACTCCTCTCAGATGTTTTTCCAAATAGCAGTAATCAACCACTCAGAAATATGATTAATATATCCTTTATTTTGTACACAACAGGACAGCAAACTTTGAATCAACAGTATTGACATTTTTAACAGGAGAAAACCAGAACTTGTCTCTTCATGAGAAAAGGGCCTGAAAGCAGAAGAAAGACGTCTTAAAAACAGATTAAGTGGGTCAACATGCACACTGTGCGTGTGTGTGTGTGAGTCTGTATGATTTAGTGCATTCTCACCCTGACTAACTACAATTTGTCAATTCCAAGCTCCTCTGGTGTTGAGATACCAAGTTCTGAGAGGGTGGGCTTCAGCTCCTGGATCAGGTAGGGATAGATGTCCTTGTGAGATGCTGCTTTGTCCTACAAAAAAAAAAAAAGATAGAATGATGTTAACAAAAGAGAAACAAAACATTTAGTCACAAGTTAAGTTTTCAACAAGCAGTCACCTCAAACAAGAAGATCTAAGGAATCCATTGTGTCAGGGTTTTTTCCCCCCATACAGTTTTTACTCCCTTTCTTTGGCCAAATAACATCTTTCAAGGTCCTGTTTTTTTTTTTTAACTGCTGAAGAACTGCATCGTTTTTACCAGAAAAAAATTGAGAAGAAGCTCCAACTGAGCCAATAAAGAGGAAGTGACTCACTTTGACGGCCTCAAGAATACGGATGGCGCTCGCCAGATCGTTCAGTCTCCGACAGGCTCTGAGAGCTGAATCCAGTATCTTGGGTTCCGGTACCAGGTCATACCCAATCAGGGTGTTCATGCCTTTAGGTTCAAATAAAAAAACAGAAGCCCCATTATTTAACAGAAGCAGCAACTTAAATTGAATGCTTTCATCAATATTTTTTTTATATACAGTAGTCCCTCGCTACTTTCGCGGACTCGCTCTTTCGCAGTTTTTCAAAATAATATTGGACATGACACACAACTGGCTGATTGATGGATGAGCCGCACAATCGGCATGGAGTTTTAATTTAAAATTATTTATTTTAAATTACTTAGCACCTGCTGCACCTGTATGCAGCCCACATGTGCAGGGAGAAGCTCACTCCTGCAGCATGTCACAATCTGCGCTCTGCATCAGAGAAGTGGGCGTGGCCGAGAGCGCTGGCAGTGAGCGGCCTGTGGCAGAGAGCAGAGTTCATGTGCTCTTTTAGAGCATTTAGAGTTTAGAAACGTTGTTTAGAATATTGCAAGAGTGTGGGAAGGGTTTTAAATGCCCTCTGAATATACAGTGCCTTGCGAAAGTATTCGGCCCCCTTGAACTTTTCAACCTTTTGCCACATTTCAGGCTTCAAACATAAAGATATAAAATTTTAATTTTTTGTGAAGAATCAACAACAAGTGGGACACAATCGTGAAGTGGAATGAAATTTATTGGATGTGTCAAACTTTTTTAACAAATAAAAAACTGAAAAGTGGGGCGTGCAATATTATTCGTCCCCTTTACTTTCAGAGCAGCAAACTCACTCCAGAAGTTCAGTGAGGATCTATGAATGATCCAATGTTGTCCCAAATGACTGATGATGATAAATAGAATCCACATGTGTGTAATCAAGTATCTGTATAAATGCACCTGCTCTGTGATAGTCTCAGGGTTCTGTTCAAAGTGCAGAGAGCATCATGAAGACCAAGGAACACACCAGGCAGGTCTGAGATACTGTTGTGGAGAAGTTTAAAGTCGGATTTGGATACAAAACGATTTCCCAAGCTTTAAACATCCCAAGGAGCACTGTGCAAGCAATCATATTGAAATGGAAGGAGTATCAGACCACTGCAAATCTACCAAGACCCGGCCGTCCCTCTAAACTTTCATCTGGAACAAGGAGAAGACTGATCAGAGATGCAGCCAAGAGGCCCATGATCACTCTGGATGAACTGCAGAGATCTACAGCTGAGGTGGGAGAGTCTGTCCATAGGACAACAATCAGTCGTACACTGCACAAATCTGGCCTTTATGGAAGAGTGGCAAGAAGAAAGCCATTTCTCAAAGATATCCATAAAAAGTGTTGTTTAAAGTTTGTCACAAGCACCTGGGAGACACCAAACATGTGGAAGAAGGTGCTCTGGTCACATGAAACCATAATTGAACTGTTTGGCCACAATGCAAAACGAAATGTTTGGCGTAAAAGCAACACAGCTCATCACCCTGAACACACCATCCCCACTGTCAAACATGGTGGTGGCAGCATCATGGTTTGGGCCTGCTTTTCGTCAGCAGGGACAGGGAAGATGGTCAGAATTGATGGGAAGATGGATGGGGCCAAATACAGGACCATTCTGGAAGAAAACCTGTTTGAGTCTGCAAGAGACCTGAGACTGGGACGGAGATTTATCTTCCAACAAGACAATGATCCAAAACATAAAGACAAATCTACAATGGAATGGTTCACAAATAAACGTATCCAGGTGTGGGAATGGCCAAGTCAAAGTCCAGACCTGAATCCAATCCAGAATCTGTGGAAAGAGCTGAAGACTGCTGTTCACAAACGCTCTCCATCCAACCTCACTGAGCTCGAGCTGTTTTGCAAGAAAGAATGGGCAAGAATTTCAGTGTCTCCATGTTCAACACTGATAGAGACAAACCCCAAGAGACTTGCAGCTGGAACTGCAGCAAAAGGCGGCGCTACAAAGTATTAACGCAAGGGGGCCGAATAATATTACACGCCCCACTTTTCAGTTTTTATTTGTTAAAAAAGTTTGACACATCCAATAAATTTCATTCCACTTCACGATTGTGTCCCACTTGTTGTTGATTCTTCACAAAAAATTGAAATTTTATTCAGTGGGGGCCGAATACTTTCGCAAGGCACTGTATATATACTAAATTAAACTACTACTCCGTGAAAAATGAGGGACTACTGATATATAGATTTTTTTTTCTTATTTTTTTTCTACAAAAACAAAACATAGCTCAAGTAGACCACAAACTGGAATCTAATCCAGATCAAAAATGTATTTTATTCAGCCTAGGGTTAATAAAGTGCTGCAAGTTTTCAAAACAATTTTCAATACAAAAATACAGCTGCAGGTAACCACAAAACTGGAATTAACAAGAGACAGTTCATCACAGAATGAGAAAAATCAGCAACCAGTGTGGTCACCTTTCCTCAGCTCCCAGGCATCAATGTCAGGCTTGCTGAAATAAGTGATCCAACGGGCGTCAAACTCCTCGTCCGTCTCCCCTTTGCCATGGGAATAGCATCTGGAGGCCAATGAAGCTGGAAAACAAAACATATATTTTTATTATTACTGCAATGATGCAATGTTAAGAGAAATTTTTTTTAAATTGACCCTTTATTTATACAGGTTCATACTATCATAACAGTAAAAAAAAAAAAAGAAAAGTTTTTGTCATCTAACAAAGAGTACAATCAGCCATAAGACTGCTAGCATAACTATACAATTTTATTTAATTTATTTTTTCCTTTCGGCTGATCCCTTCTTCAGGGGTCGCCACAGCGAACTAACTCAACTTGGCAATAGTTTTTACGCTGGATGTCCTTGATGCAACACAGACCACCGAGCTACCACAGCCCTCTGTGTGGAGCAGAGAGCTGCCATCTAGGACACTCGGGGGAGCAGATGGTGGAAGTTAAGAGCCTTGCTCAAGGGCCCAGAGTGGGGCAAATAAGGCTGGAGGCAGCAGGCGTTTCACCTTTCCCACCCACATTTTGATGTTGTTGGTCCAGGGGGGTCGAACCGGCAACCTTCCGATCACAGACCTACCTTTTCTAAGCTTCGAGATGTTTAAATGCTCAAAAGGTAAATAGTGCACAGCCGTTTTAGACCGGAGTGCAGTGTCCTACTACTAAATGACCCCATGTTTGTACTAAAAGCTATTCTCAGTAGCCGTATGCCGAACGGTTGATAAAAGTCTCTCAGAGGAAGTGAAATTTATCAAGAAAATGATTTGTTTTGTTTGCTTTACCATCCAGGCACCTCTATCCGTGGCTGCTGTTTTACACTTTAAACAAAATAGAGGGCATGAAGAAACACAGGAGATGGCTTTCAGTTTTGTTTAGCTCCATTTACTCATGCATATTATTGTACTTCCTCCTAGACATTATTCTTAGTTGATATTTATTTGTCCAGTATTCAAAACACACATACTTTAAAACATTCAAGTTTATGTTAGAAAAACATGTTTGTTGATTAACAAGTGAACGGGATGCTCATTTAATATTGGGAGCAGACCACCAAAAACATCAGAAAATAAGATACAAAAAGTCTAAGTACAAATACACAAGACAATCTGAGTGAGGACTGTGTATGTTCATGATAACAAACCTGCAGCCACACAATCCCTCTGAAACTAACAAAGACGGGTCATCACAAGGTCGTGAATTCATGTCTTTGAACTCACCTCCAGAAACCCTATTTAAAATAGAATTAAAATATATACAAAGAAAAAGCCTATTTAATCGACAGCTCATGCAGACAGCTACAAACAAAAATCCTTCAATGTCACCCCACGTTAGCTTGTAGTTATACCTGCACCCAGGAGTAGCTAAGCTAGGTGGTTAGCCAAACAAGCTAACCGTAATAACCTTTCTAGTGTGATTTCGTTGCTCGTGTAAAATGGGGCAGTTCTACCTGAGTAGCAGGGTCGTGTTCGAGTCAAACTTCGGGCCCCTGCGGCTGACAGACAGAAAACAGATCGCAACATGATGCCGCGCGCTGGCGGTGATAACCGGCCTGCTTGCACCGAGGGAGGGACCGCGGTGGACGGACGGTCACGAAGAGGACGCCGGCGAGTCACGTGACTCACGGAAATGCCCGAACGCTTAAAGGTAGGAGGTTCTGCTTTAAGACAAACCCCTCTGCATTGATTTTCTTGACTTTATTTTATAAACTTCCTTTTATTATTACTTTTAATACATTAATCTTATAGACATTTATAAATATGCAGTAGATAACTAAAAATAATTCCTGAAAAACATTGTTTTGGGAATATCTACACTTACACTCACTGATAAACTCTTTTACAGTAATGCTACTGTATTTCTTAATGCGTGTGTTTAACATTGCATTTTCGTATTTATTTCTACTATCACACTGTATATTTTTTGTGCAGTGAAAACAAAGACAGCTGCAGCCAGAATCTGTTTGTTTACACAAACGTGGCCAAAGAAAACTGTTTCTGAATAATGTCAAGATGCTAAAGAAGAGACTACCAGCAGGGGGCGCTTTTGGTTCAGGAATAAATTACTCAGTCCAAAACATTTGGCTGGTACACTGACATTTTCTGTCATAACAGCATATAACAGCTTAGAATAGTTTTAAAGCATCAATGTTTGACTTTAAATCAACAGATTAATTTTTGCAAATGTAGATAATTTTGTATGGGGTTCTATTTGTGGAAAACATGCTTATGCTTAAATAAACTGAACAGTAATCTCTCCTGAAATAATTACTGTTAAAAAGAGTAAAAAAAATGTGTTTCTATATAAACATTTAGAATGATAGTGAGTCAGTGGAAAGGTCTGTTTTGACCCAGAAATGTCCCACTGAGGGACAGTGTCTCTTCATTCCTTCGCAGCCTCTGTCAGCCCCAGTCTGCATTTAAAAAAACACTTAAAAATACTTTTAGCACAAAGCTTACAGGGTTGAACAGAGCTGCTAATGCAAAAAGATATGACTGGATGCAACAGCCCACATTTCTTTGTTAAATTAAATCAAAACTCTCTTTTTTACTAGAAATTCATCAGGAAGAAGTATACTTTGTGTCACAAGCCCGTAGAACTCCACAGCAGGTAACATTTGATCATTTTGTACATTTGAGTGTCTAAATCCAGGGGACTTGCCTGCACTGAGCCTTGTAATGTATGTGAGTTACACCAGATTACTTTCTCATGTAGCTGTTGTTAAGTTTGTGTGTGTGTGTTTGTTTATGCTGCTCTGTGAGGACCATTTTTGAACACATCCTATATTGTGAGGACCAACTCACTCTATGCCCACTCTTGCTTTTTGTGGGGACCAAAGCCCGGCCCCCATGAGGTTCAAGTGTTGTTGGTGGGTTAGGTTTATGTACTGGTAATGGTTGGGTTTAGGGTCAGGGTTAAGCTATAGAAATGAATGAAAAATGAATGGAAGTCAATGCAAAGTCCCCGTAAAGATAGTAAGACAAACCTGTGTGTGTCAGTCTTCTTTAGTGACGTGGTAAACTAATCCACCCTAAGCCCAGGGCACCGCACAGGATGTCCATTAGTGTAATGTGCTGCTCCACGTCTCTCCTCCTCGGTCTCCGCCCGACTCTTCCCCTTTCCGTGTGTCTTTCCTTTGTCCACAGTGACGTTGCATGTTTTAAACATGTTGTTCATCAGCCTGTTAAACGTGATGTCAGGATAAGCTGTTTAACTTCTGACATGATCGCAGCAGGGCACCAAAAGAGTAAGCACGTTTGTCTCAAATTGAACTGACAGAAAACTGTTTGTATCAATGTTTCAACAAAACCTGGAAGAAACTATTAAGTCCACCAACAAAACAACCAGTACAACCATCCCTGTTGGAAAAACTGTGAAGTGTGAAGGCAGAGGGACAAAAAGAAATGGCAAAATATTCCTTCAGTAGTGAGAGCCAGTGACAAGCCATGATTACATTTTTTACAAGTTCTTTGCAGTTTTTGTAATAGTGTGATCGTTTATTAAGCATTCACACTATTGTGACAACAGGTCCCTCTTGTAAATGAGTCCTCGTGGCTCAATGAGGCTAGCCTGTATAAATAAAGGTTGAATGAACTGTGATCCTCTTTATATTTCTTATAGTAGTCCATATTCCGTACATTTTTTGGCATCCATCTTGACCCGCAGTTTATTTCAACACATCATAAAACGTTCAGCTCGTTCAGGAGAAGGATGCTATGGTTTTGGTACTGGTGCAACTTTAGCTTTTTGAAATATTTAACCTTTTCTGCCACTGTTTTCTCATAGAAAATGAATCGATCTCATTTTACATCCTTCATATCTTTGGATGTGTTTACAACATTTTACTGCTCCTCTCACATTTTGCTCTGGTTCAGCTTCTTTCAGCTTCCTTCTGCAAATTTATACTTTTTTCAGCTACTTTCAGTTGTTTGTCCTCTTTTCAGAATCTTTCTTTCAACTAAAAATATGTTGTGCTTCTTCTAACGTATTTCAGCTTGTTATGCATTTTTCAGCTTATTTCTGCAAGTTTCACCTTTTCCACTATTTCTGCTACTGTTAAGCTGTTTTTATGCTAATTTTAGCTTTTTCAGCTAATTCCACGTTTTGCACCTGTTTCAACCTTTTTCAGCCTAATTCATCAAAAATGTGCTGTCTCAACTTCCTTCTGGTTATTTAAGCTTCTTTCATCTTTTTTTTAACTACCTTTCAGCTGAGTTTAGCTCATTTAAACTTTTTCAGATAATTAACACTTTTTGTGTTGATTTCTGCTTCTTTCAGCCTAATTGGGCGCAATTGTCCTCACTCCACATCCTTCTGGTAATTTAAGCATCTTTCTGCCATTTCAGCTACTTTTCATCCATCCATCCATCCATCCATCCATCCATTCATCCATTCATCCATCCATCCTCTTTACCCGTTTATTCCATTTTGGGTCACGGGGGTCGCCGGTGCCCATGTCCAGTAATCACTGTGCGAGGGGCGGGGTACACCCTGGACGGGTCGCAAGTCCATCACAGGGCCACATAGAGACAAACGAGACAAACAACCATTCACTCTCTAACTCACACCTAGGGACAATTTAGAGTTACCAATCAGCCTAACATGCATGTTTTTGGTCTGTGGGAGGAAACCGGAGCACTCGGAGAAAACCCACGCATGCACGGAGAGAACATGCAAACTACACCCAGAAAGGCCCCTGGACTGGGGTTTAAACCAAGGACTTGCTCGCTGAGAGACAGCAGCTCTACCAGTTGCGCCACCGTGCTGCACTTTTCAGCTATGTCTTGCTAATTTAAGCTTTTTTTTAAATAGCTAATTTACTAATTTTTGGACTCATTTCTGCTTTTTAAACCAAATTCATCGAACATGTTCTTTTTGCTTTCTTCTAATAAAGTAGGCTTGTTCTTCCATTTCAGCATATTTTTAGCTAATTTCAGCTGTTTTTCAGCAAGTTCTTCAGCAATAAGCATTCATACAGTATTTTCACAGGAAATACAATTTCTCTAGTTATTGTAAACATCAGTGAATCTTTTTTTTTTTTTATCATACTTAAAAGTACCATTACCATATAGTTTGTTCCATGTGCTGCTGTTACTAAAACTTGTGGATCATTAAACATAAAATCTTAAAATTTAAGCAACATAAATTACAAATAAATCTTTCCGTATGTTCACTATTGCAACAAATACAGCTTAAGTTGCGTAACTGCTGACACATCCCTTTAAAAAAGCCTTTGCAAGCTGAGCAAATCAGAATAGTAATAAGTGAATGAACCCCAATTTAGTTTTGTTGTCGAGCAGTGATTTGCTGCAAGATAAATATTCAGGTTATAGAAACTAACAAAAAGCAGTTTGGTTCTACAGTTTTGATGGTTTTATTGGCAATTATCAAGGTACATGATATTTTACAGTGATGTCACAGTCTGGAAAGAGAGACAGAAAACAGAGTGGCACTACTGCAGATAAATATGTGTGGGCTACATACAGCATGTAGCATGCTGTTGCCCTGTCCGGATAGTTTTGCCTGAATAAATGGATTATTTTCAAGCAGCTGAAGGACATGCAAAACACACTTCATGAATGAATGCAGTTTTTCATGTCGCTAAGGGCAGAACGATGTGAAGAGGTCGTTGACCTTTCTTTAAATATGCTCAACACTTAAACTCACGGCACATTTCCTTTGGTCTTTGTTACAATTTCACATTTGCTCTTACAGCCTGATATTTTCACATGAAATTCCTTTCAAATCATAAATAAATACAACTTTACCCACGCACGCACATATAAAGTATGTCTGTCTGTGTACATATATATATATTATAATAGGAATATGCTTTCATAGGTTTTAATGTATAAATAAATTATTGAACACTTTGTTATTGAGTGGTCCAATTTAGCTCCTTGAGGAAGGGTAAAACTACACAGTTTTATGGCATCAATTCCTTTTAATACTATTCCAATATTATCCTTGGTAAATATACTGGCACGCAGTTCTGACCAAAAAGCCACGTTTCCCTTTAAGTGGCACAAATACTTAAAACCAGGGTCCTAGACCACTTGTCACTAGTAAGATCTGTGCAGTTTCACTCCACATGAAGTATCAGTATTTGAACAGTTGTCTATTACCACAATTTCTAGGACGAAATGTCTGGATTTATTGTGTAGCATTATGACCTTCTTAATAACAACTATAAAGTAAAGAAGGCCTGATTCACTAAGAATGGGCAGCACCTCATAGTTGCTCCAATATTTGCACATCATTTGCTCCTTTTATTTGTTCTGTCTTAGCATTCGATTCTCCAAACCAAAAAAAAAAGCTAATTTATATCTTGGATATAAAGTGGCGGCTGGTCCACTGGGGCAAACCTAAAAATTATTTACTGAGCTTACTGTGTATTGTTTTGTTCTTTGCATTTTTTAAAATTATTTTCACAATTTTAACTGGAATTTAAAACAATGTTTAGTGATTGATTCTGTTTTTCACTTATTTACTGTTACGGAGGCGTTACCATTAAGCTACCTGTATTCATCAAGCAGATCGGAACATGACCAGTGACTTGAACAGCCAAATCCAATAGTCTCATTCAGGGCGTCAGATTTTCTCCCCCGTGGACACGTTCCTCTGGTTTTAGCGCATTAATACGACCACTAACACTTGACCTGAGCTCTAACGCAGGAATAGCTGCAGCTAAACCTTCTGTGCTGTGGAGATATTCTGTTCAGATCCATTTGGAGCAGACAGAGGGGACCAGAACAGAAAACTGAGGAGGGCAGACATTTTCAACAACATGGCAGAATCTTATTGAACTAGTTCTGTGGCATCCAAAGTGTAAATGACTGCATTGGCTCAGTGGTTAAAGTCATATAATCAGACCACAGGTTCAATTCCTGTTTGGAACATCTGTTTCAATCAGTGCTGATATATTCGACCAGTATTTTTAACTTTTACATTGTTTTATTTTTAAAAGTGAAAAAAACTTTACCGATCCAAACAGTTTTGAGCGTGAGTGTTCGGCTGTTCGTTCTGCCTCATGTGTCAGTCAGTCGCGCGTTGCGTTAATTAATTTAGTCAAATTATCTCTGTTTCTGGCGGGGGTGGATGTGGGAGGCTTCCATTTCTCTGATTTATTAGACGGGACTGTTTTTCACGAGACATAACCTCGACCTGCGGGAGGAAGAATAATGATTTGTACACATTTTTTTTAATAAACAACAAAATAAATATTAAGCAACATATATCCTATTTTTACCACAGAAAATGTAATGCGACTTGTGCGGTTAGTAATTCAGGAAATTAATGTCCACCCCACTGATATTTTGGCTCAGGAGCCACCAGTGGACACAAACACTCCCGTCAAGCTCAGCAGGTGTGAGCAGTTTTTATTCTTTGTGCCAATACACAGCTGTTCTAGCTGCACAGTGGAAATATGACAGAAGGGGCAGAGAGAAAGAAAAATGTATTTTTAATGTCGTTTATAAAACAATAATGATGTTGGTTCTTTATTGAACAGCTGCAGATTTATGACACTACGATACGATGGCATAATTTATACATTTAACTAATTTAGTTAAAGAAAAACGTGTTTGCTGAAGTTTAAAATGCAGTTGTAAATTAAGTACTTAAACTTATGAGATATTAAAAAAAAAATTAAATTGCTTTTGTGCTTTTTTGACCATTACTTTTAATTAATTAAATGAGAAAGAATTAATTAATTTTTGGTTTCTGCTCCAGACCAAGGGATGCTTGCTGCAACCTTTCCTCCTGGATGGAGGGTTGAGGCTCACACCCCCACTGCCCCCCAGCTGTGTCCTTGGCTGTACTGCAGGATGAGAACAGGTTTTAATTAATGGGCTAGTTGTGTTTGTTAACTTCTGGATGTGAAGCCCCATCTGTTGAAACGTTCTGAAACATATTCTGCAACAAGTAAACTTAGCTAAACCATTTAGCAACAAGTTTTGAATTACTTCTTGAACCATTTTCTGTAAAAGCATCAAGGCTCGACACTTATTACTTGAAGAGAGGACAAACTTTTTGTGGCATGCCTTTTGGTGGGAAGTTAATAGTGCATCGGATTCCTCTGTTTCTTCTCCTGAGACACAATTACCACCAGCTCTCACAAGATATTTCTCATTAAATGGGTGTCTCAAACAACGTTACATACAAAAGTATGGGCAATTTCTTCTCTAAATGCATGAAAATTTATTTATTAAAATGTGGGCAATCAGTGCAAAGAAATGCTGTTTGGTTGGCAGCACAGTTTGAGGTACACATCTCCCTTGAGGAGGTCTTTCTGAACCTGACGTATGCCCAATCATTGCTTTGAGCTTGTGTAGTGCCTACTAAAGCTGCACAGTCCTTTGGTGAATCAGGCCAACTTGTATCAGACTAGAATACTGACGTAGGAAAAGGACAGTGTGAAAATAAAAATGTAGATACAGTTTATTTTACACCAAGAATTAAAAAAGAAAGAGAATAGGACAAGTGGTCTAAATCACTGAAGCCATTAAAGATGTTCTATGTACAGCGTAGAGAAGGTTTGACTGGACAATGTGCAACAGGACAGTATACAGTATAAGCCATATTTAAAGCGCAACATCACAGAACAACGTTAAGAACAAGAGTGGAAATAAATGGAGTGTTAAAGGAAAGAGGGAGGAGGAAGTGAAGTGATGTATGATATGTGCATGTGTGCAAACCTCTACCAGTATCACAATAAAAGCATGAATTTGTAGCGCCTGCTGTCGGCATTGGTGTTGGGGGCAGGGCTGGGTTTGGTTGGTCTCGTTTTCAGGCTGACTGGGGTTTAACGGGGATGAGAGCACTTTAAGCTGCAGTTTAGCCACTGCCCAACATCTTTGTAGCACGCTGGTTGGCCTCATCAATCCTGGTCTTGTTGGAATCAGCCTGAAAGGAAAAAGCACTGGCTGTTAGAGACTCAAGTCATGGGTGAGAAAATGTGGCACCTTATCAAAAGTGGCTACATATGACTCCAGAATTAAAATGTTGCACTTTCACAATTAGAGTGTATTAGCATTAGAGCTTGTCTGTTAAAATGTCAATGTAAATCTGCTTAAATTCTGCACAGCTACACCCACCAATGTTGAGCCTGTAATCCTTCTGAATATTTGCTTCATATTAGACTCTTTGTTTAAGTGAAATTATTTCTAGTTGCATGGCCTTTCATGTTTTCATCAATAATTTTACTACAAATAAAGCATATCCTTCTTTCTTAAACAAACTGATGCATCCCCTACAGTGTTAGTCTGCTGTACCTGCTCCATGATCCTTTCAATCTGGCGGTTCTGGGTGTCGATCTCCTGGCCCATGTCCAACGCCATGTGACGCAAGTTGCCGATGATCCCACCCACCTGCTCGAGGTTCTCATCCATTTCATTCTCCCGGGCGTCATTTGTTACCCTGCAACACACAACACATTATGGCCTTACGAATCACGCTTGAAACGGAAGATGCTTCAAATTCTTAAACATCAATTAAGGTCATAAAAACAGATTTTACTTTCAGTCATGACCAAAGTACAAGCAACTATCTTAGGCATATTTATAACTCTTGAATTGCCCATTTGAACAGTTACTAGGGGTGTCAAACTCACTTACAAAAGGGGGCCGAAATTAGGACCAATTTCAGAATCTACATTAACTCAAGTTAGATACTTGACATCTTTTCTTGGTTGCGGGTTCCTTAACAAGAGTTTGATTGGTATCATTTGACATTCCCTGCTGTACTTTTGACATCATAATCAAAGATTACTGAATAAATTAAAGTAACAAAAGTATTTGATGTCTTCTTGGGGACCAGATAAGATGTCAACGAGGGCCACATTTGGCCCATGGGCCTTGAGTTTGACACAAGTGTATATTTTGAGTTATTGATTAAAGAATAGTCATGTTTTATCAATCTTTATATTATTTTATTACTACATTCCATTACCATTAAACTCTTTTATTACACTGACCGAAATGAAACTTTCCACTTTGTAATTGTAAGTTGGATCAAAATACAATGGCAGGAAGTTGTTTTCACAATTTCAGAGAATTTGATGCGATTTCTACACCAATGGATGAACTGCAGCCCCAAACAATGAAAGCTCCCCTCTGTGCTTTACGCAGGGGAAACACAATAATACATACAATACAACTTTATTTAAAGCACTTTAAAACAACACCGTTGGCCAAAGTGCTGCAGATGCTACATCCAGAATCTGAACTTTGCTGTAAATAATCTTGACAATTAACCAGAAAGTTCAAATTTGGTTTAATCACATTTGTTCCCATTAGTCAATTGCTGTGTGTGTTGGCACATTCACTCATACTGCTCTTTAAAAAAAAACTTTGAGATTCTGCTTATCTGCTATAGATTGTTAAAGACTAATTTGGTTCTCCTCTATCTGGTTACCTTAAATTTCATGAACATACTCCAACGTAAAATGATGCCAGTCTTTTGGTTTCCAGTCTACTGGAGGCTCTGTTGGTGTTAGAATACTTTTATGTGCCTGTTCAAGAGTTTTATCTTTTGGTGTTCACTGATACAACAAAAATAAACTGGAACCAATCAAACTTAAACAATGCTGAAAGGCCTTTTTAGAAGGCTTGAAAAAATAAAACTTCAAAAGATTTAAGGAAAGTCCAGCAGCTTAAAGCAAAAGTATAAAAAAAGGATTCACAGATTTTGCACAGAACAGTATTCTAACGTTCAGCTGTTTCCTTCCTTCTGAATATAACCAGTACAGATACTTAAATATTCATAACAATATACATCCAGAAACACTAAATACCTTTACAGATAAATAATAGTAGTTTCATACCTGCGGATGAAGCCCCCACTGATGGCCATCTGTTCACGCTCGTCTACCACTCGAGCCCCTGGCTGGCTGTTCACCACTCCGTCCTGGTTCCCTCCCCAGGCCTGGCCCCCACCCTTAAACCTACCACAAACACACTTCAGTCAGAGTCAACAGTCATACTGTGAGTGTGTGTGTGTAAATGTTAATGTGGTTGGGTTTATGTTTAGTTGTTAAGTTGTTTAGTGAAAATGAGTGGTTATCGTTGCAGTATGTCCATGTGTACACACAACACGTTCAAAACATACATAAATATATGTTTAGAATGCAAATATGGCAATCTAATCGTCCTACTGAAAGCAACATGATGACCACTTATGAGTTTGTTACATGCATGCGTTTGCGATGTGTTGGTGAATAATTGATCTAACATGCAGATCAATTGAACACTAAAAAGCTCACGTGTTCCTCAAGCTTCAAACAAAATTAACGCAGAACACGACGAGCACACAGGACACACACATAAAAACACGTAGAGTGGACATGCGGAAACATGGAGTTTACAGAGGGGACAGGGTCAGACACACGCTGTATCTATCAAAAGAAAGCCGAGCCGTTAGATCCATCATGGCAAAACAAACAAACAAACAAAAAAACAACCACACGTGATCGTTTTGATCAGAACACTAGCTGTGAGCTCAGCCCTTCATTTCATCTGGATAGACAGATCTAGGAAAAGAAAAACAAAATGTAATTCTTTGTTTTTGTTGTATTTTCCGTGAAGTATCTGATAGGTGAAGGGCAGCACAAACATCCAGGCTTCTGCAGGTTCATTTTGCTCGGGTCCTCCTGTATTTCAGTGTTTCTCCTCAGCTATCTGCTCTGAGGCTGTCATACAGGGGCTCTAAATTAAAGGAAACATGAGGTATAACTACAAAGTACTACATCGATTACAAAACAGGTGGATTGTGGAAGAAGGGACCAGAGAGCTATAGAATATACAAGATCTTAACCCCAAACAGAAACATCTGGAAGCAGGACCAAGGTGGACCAAATGAAGATGTATCTAGGCCTGTCACGATAAACAATAAATCAACTAATCACATAAATGAAAATTATCAACCCCATTTTCATTTACCAACTTTATCATTTCTTCGTGTCTCTCTTTTTGTTGAAGACACTGGACGACAAAAGGCTCAACTCCGGTGCTCTTCACTGACCCCTCCATTTCTCTTTTATCTTTAAAATCAGTTTTAATTGTCCAAAATTGTGTTTTTGGATCATTAAAAGCAGCTAAGCTGAGAAGCTAAGCTACAAGCTAAGTTAACTGGCTGACCTGAGGGAAAAAACCTCCGTCTTGTTGAAGCTCCAAAATTCGTGATTGAAACCCGTGCCTTTGTCTAAAAAGTTGTTTCTCTCTGCAAAAAGAAGCTGAGAACTGGTTTACTGTTTTTTTAATAAAAGCTTTGTGTGAAAAATGCTGTGCTAAAGAGCTTTTTTTTTTTTTGTTGCTATGCTAAAGAGCTCAAACCACACCGAGCGTCCACCATTTTGAGAACCTAATAAAGGAAGGAGAGACAGCCCATGTCACGTCAAGGGGCCTCCCTCCCATTTTTCTTAAAGAGACATGCTGCTCGCTCCCTCACTATCCATCCTTTGGTTCAAACAGTCTTATACTGCCATCTGGTGGTTGAACAAAGGTACTACGTGCAAAACAAATTAACCAACATTTCTTCTTAAATTTGACAATAATTACTAATTATTGTCAAATTTCAAACAATATTATTGTTTATCGCATTAATTTCTGAGACAATCATGCAGCAAAATTTTTTATCATGACAGGCCTAGATGTACCTTATCCAAAATCAGGTGGTGGTTTTTAAAAAATAAGAATGATGACACCAGCTTTTACTGAACAACTACTGTGATGTAAATGAAGCACATACAATGTGTGTGTTACTGTCAGGACTTGTTCAGCCCAGTTCTGGAGGAAAGAATGATCTGCTGTAAAAAAGCCTAATAGTGTAGAAAATAAAGGTTTGGGTCATATATATTAAAAGCAAAAAACTACTTAATTTGACCCATTTGGTAATTAATCAGATTTACCCAATAAATAACATTATATACAGATTATTGTACCTCTTGACCAGTTCACTCATTCACAGTGTCTGAAAGATGGCCTATTGTAAACCTACAGCAAAATCATCACAATAAAAGTCCATTTAACGCATTTTCTCATTATTTTTGTCATTCACTTGTGTTTTCTATAGCTCTGAGACAGAACAGTATTTCCAGTAAGAGTATGTGATGCACAGACATGACCCAGTGGCCATAGTTTGGCTGTTGAGGACCTGAAAGAAATCACACAGGAGTTTGGCAGAACTCGCAGTAAGCATCAACTTGAGCTTTTAGAATGCAAGTTTTACAAGTTTTAATATTAAGAAGATGGCATGTTAAGTTCAAAAAAAAAGTTTGCCTAACTCATGCATGATATTTTACAATGCAAGAAAGTCTTGTGGAAGGAAACTTGGACATCCTGTAGTTACAATTGGTGATTACGTACCAAAAATTAATTTGTTAAAGTGGGAGTTTGTGGTGGATTGGAATGCTCTAAAGCTCCAGTGTGTAGGATGTAGTGGCATCTAGTGGCACAAATCCCAAATTTCAAGAAACCAGGAGAAAATAAACATTTCATACCCATAACAACTGTGGCTGTGAAATTAAACAAAATTTAATTAAATCAAACTTATATAAAAAGCCTTGCATTCCTGCTGCATTAATTGCCAAAGTTTTAAACTCAGATCATCTTCTAAAGAGATAGAGTTTTAGTCTTTATGGTCAAACATTAAAACAATGTTAGCAATAACATGCACAAAATGTGTTAGCACAGGAATGATTTTCAGCTACCACATCAAATTTTATGTATATATCTGTACATTTGACTTGGTTATAGTCATTTTTGCATGGGCTAATGCCAGTTAGAAAAATAATCTTACGCAGGACTTAATTTGAGCCGGACCTGCCAGAACAGGATCCGAAAACTCTTATTTTGACATGGTGTGTTCCGGTAACTGTTTTCTTGTATCTGGTAACACTCACGCCAAATAATAATAAAGTTATGAACAAATTTGACTGCCTTGAACAAATAAAACCTATTTTGGATATGTAAACTGAAAATAATTACATAAACACTAATTTTAAACATAACAAGCTTCCTAATATCACATCAGAGCTGCCCCTTCGCATTTCTGCTTCTGCTCTTAAACAAATCTCCACCTCTAAAAGTTCAAAGTCATGGGCAATTTTATCAAAAAGCACAAAAATATCATTAAAGTTTTGCACTACGCATGAGTTCCTGCGCTTTTGTGAACAATCTGATGTGTGAATCACTGCAGGAGTTATCTGAACTTTCGCTTGAACTGCAAAAGAGACGATGATCTCGGCTCATATTTGTTGTGAAGTCGGAGTGTTTGAAGCGATGACGGAGCGACCAGGACGCGTTTCTGAATTCAGCAGGAGGACTGAGAGCTACTCTTTTCTAAGCAGTGACAAAGCACTAAATATTAGACACGTGGCCACAAACTTAGAGCAGCGCTTGTTGTCCCAGGGTGGGCACATGCCCGACAAAAGTGGCTATGATCATTTTACTGAGGAGCTGCAGATGCTTTAAACATATCATTACGATTTTTTAAGGAAACTCAGCTCTCAAACCTTAGATTTACCAAAATATTGAACAAATATTGAATAAATGATGACAGGCCTAAAAGGGCCAGTAAAATATGATTTTTTTTGTTGTTGCATGAGTCGGATCTGCAAACCACCTGTCAATCAATCCCATAGGCACGTCAGCAACTGACCAATCTGAGACCTCAGTTTGTCCTGAAGTGAACGTCCCTTACCTGCAGAGCTGCAGCAGTGTTGCATGAACGCTTTGCAGTCAGAGATTTCAATAATAACAGAGTTTACATCTTTTGTTTCATGTTAATCTGCTGTAATAAACCTTTGTAAAATACACCAGGATGCAGGAAATGGCATCTACTTTATTCAAAATTCTCTGGGGGAGAACCCCCCCCCCGCAAGCCGCTGTTTGCGTTCCAGCATTGTTTGGTTTAAAAACTAAGCCCTGATTATATGTACAGTATATGTATGTTCGGTTTTCAGTTTCAGAGAGTTTCAGTAGAATTCACCCCGTGATTCATGTGATACTTTGCTAAGTATTCAAGTTGGGGCTGACTCCCAGGTACTAGCTTCCAAAACATTTAGCTCAATATCTGTAAAAGTGACTGAGTTATAGCCATTTTTTGTGAGTTAGCTAAGTTTGATTAGCTGTGGGGGACACCTTAAAGCAGTCTGACTCCACACACACATGCAAAAACATTTTCGCCTGTCTTGTATCTTTCAGCAGTGAGTGATTTTTAAACACTGATGCTTATTTGCTACATGATTATACACAACTGAAAAACAGTCATGAGTTTTGATGTTGTGAACCACTTTGGCTGTGTCTGCCTCAGAGGAGTAAATGGGGGAAACGATGGGCTCCAGAAACCATCATCTCACCAGCAAACTTGTTGATCCACTTTGTAAGTGTACTGCTTGTGGAACTGAGTTTGTTGTGGCTCCTTGGACTGATGAAGTCCTTTGGATGAAGGAAGAAACATCTCAACAAAAACTTGTCCAGAGGAGCTGACTTAACTTTGTTGGATTTTTAACCTGGATTATTGAGCATGAACTTTGAAGTCATGAAAGTTATATTATGTTTCATTTGTGCCACTAAAAGCTACAAAACTCTACACTTTGAAACATTAAAACAAATATATTAAAATGTAACACTTACTTGAATGAACTGACCCCAAACATTACATTACAAGATAACAAAAATATGCAATTATTTCAATAAGGAGTCAGCTAGTTGATGTACTGTTTAGTAAGATTTGTATACATCATCATGTAGCATTATGCTTTGGAATGGGTTGGTGGGCACCGAGACCAAGATCCTTGCTGATGCTGCTACCTGCAGGAGGATAATCTCTCATCCGTTGTGGAATGAAGGGCTTTTAAGGGGCATCAGCCATGGAGGCAAGATAAGATCAGTTTCAAACTCAAGCATGCATTTGGTCCCGGTTCAATCACGCACACGTGCTCGTGCATGCTGCGCTCGCGCCTGTTTGGAGAGCGTGTCGTTGTGGCTTCAGGCCTGACTGCTCACAACACTGATAACCATGCTCTACACACCAGAAGCAGGCAGATGGATAGAGGCGAATGCAGGCAGGCACTGAAACACATGCATTTGGGCGACACAGGCGGCACCTACTTGTTACAGGGACATGTACAAAGACCACAGAACTGTCCTAGATTGTTCAGATTCTTTTCTGCATCCATCATGTCCTTATTGATTTGGTCCATCCCCTCCTCGATGCGCTCCAGTTGTTCTGATTATCAACACATTGTCATTTATCCCAGCAAAAGAACGAAAGCACGTGAGAAAAGAAGAGAGGAGAAAAAGGTTGTGGGGTGGTAGGAAGGAGAAGGGAGAGACAAAGGAAAAGAGACAAAAAAAAGACATAGACTGTGACAAGAGAGACATCAGACATCACCACCACCACCAGCACTGGACAGGCAAGAGCACTGGGCTCCTAGCCGGTACCTACTTTTTAACACATGGGCAAATCAGACCACAGCATTGTCCTATATCTTTTAAATCTTTCTCGGCCTCCTTCAGGTCTGCGTTCACCTTGTTCATGCCCTCCTCCATACGATCAAGTTGTTCTGGTGAGGACAAAGGCACGAGAGGGGTGAAATACAGTTGACTGGTTCGGGTCGAGGGGTTGGCGCTCTACGCTAGCGTGCAAGAGCCTACACGTTTTGCCTAAACGCGGAAGGCAAAGCAGGTGACAATGTTTAAGAGCACCTTTTGGTATTTCTGTTGACGCAGAATGAACTCGTTTGTCTTCATCCAAAAATGTCCACGCAACTTTATTTTTTGCAAATGACTGCAACGCTTTTTAAAATTTCAAAGGCTATTAACTCCATTCCAAAGAACGCGTTTCTGAGAAAATATTTTATCTGCGTGACAGCCGCAGACCACTTTATCCAGAAAAGCATCTGTACAGAAAGATTTAGCAACGTTCTCTTCTTCAGGGCTACCAAACAACAATTATAGCCGTTAAAGCATAACTAATTCAATTTTTTTATTTTTAAGTACAGGTAGGAGAGAGTGAGAAATAGATGTATAACTTCAGTCAGCAGTGGCTGAACAATCTGCCCCCTCCTGTCACACTGAAGATTTCTGAGTGATGACCACAGTGAGTCACGTTGAGTGATGGATTAGAAAACAAACAGCTGTTGAATGAAACAGCTCGTCTGTTAAAGTATAACCTCACTTCATCAACCCATCAAAAAGGAATTAATTAACAAACTCATGACTGAGTTTCATACGTTTGTGAACAAATAAACGGAGGGCCCAGTCTTCCAAAGTAAGGTGTCACTTCCTGTAGGCTTCCCAGATGGAAAGATAAACAGTTAGTTTATTACTTAAAAATGACCTCAGTAATTAATCTTGGACAAACAATCAGGGGACTACAGCAGCTGGCCTCCTTCCCCTCAGTCACGTCACACTAATAAATATTTATGGACCTGTCTAGGGAGGACACATGTTGAAATTATTGCATGAAATATGATATTTGTGCTGAGCACAAACTGGCAGAGGTTTTAATTCTCTGCTTGTTTCACAGTTGTTTTTATTTTCTTTTTTGATCATCTTTAAAAACAACTCATGACTAAGACTTTGCTGCAGAACCGAACTGTTTTTCTGGCTGTCAGACCTTGAGTGTTGTAAAGTTTCTTAGAGGAAGAAAAAAAAACAAACACTGACATATTCAACTCGTACACTGACCAATATTCATGTGGTTCTTGCTCAAGTAACAGAGTTTTACAATGAATCTAATTCTCAGTCTCATAGTGAAACACTAATTAAAACAAAGAGTCTACAGAGACTGGATATTGAATAATAATGAACAAGTGCTGAGCTATCAATTGGATTTAATATGAATGCAGCTGTTAATGATTTAAATCATATCAGACTTATTTGTGTTTTTAGTGAAAAGCTGACAAAAATCTTGAATTGTTCACTAAAATGTTGGAAGTTGCTCACAAATCCAGAGCTATAATCCATCGAGTCTCACTTTAATCCAGGTCAACGTGTACCAGCCGAGCTCAGAGGAGCTCATTAGCACTGATGACACTTCCACTACAGGTTACTGGAAGGAATTACACATCGTTCATGTGCAACCTGTGTGTGCATGATTAGTCACACGCCAGTTTAAACAAAACAGCATTTATTACTTCCAAGTTTTATTGTAAGACTATAGCACTGGCGTCCTTTTTGCAGTAAATAAATTGGCCAGTATGACAGTGCCTCCAGAAAAAGTCAAAGCAGAGAATGGAAGCAGGATGAAATGGAGAATAGAAGATGAAGGCAGAGTGAGAAGAGGATATGGATCAAGTAGAGAGGATGTTAGCTTGGAGGCAAAGGAAATTAAATCTGAATTCATCGGTGTCTTGTGATAACTGCAGCAAAGAGGCAGCCGTGATTATGAGAGGTAAGAGTAAAAGACTGCCATGTCACACACGGTGCTAAAAACAAAACACACAGATACTCCACACATGACAACGCACTCATCTAGACAGTAAACATACCTTGATGCATGTTCACCCACAGCACAACAGACTGTTTCTTGCATATAAACAGTAAAAACGTGGTATTTTCATTAAAGTCGCCAAACACTGATCTGATGACAGCAGATACAGCGAGGAAAGATTTCCAGGTGCTTCAGCTGCTGTGTGGAACAATCCTGACCTCTCGCTGCCTTATAAGAAGTTTTCAAAATAAAACTAGACTTTTGCACTGGTTGGGGAAAAAGATGAGCTTTAGTCCATTAGTAATTTTTTTTTTTTTAATTACCTGTATCTATTTTTATCTGCTCTGTCTTTCTTACAATAATCTAATGAATGCAAAGAGGTCATACATTATACTTTCTTTTGATAAGAACTGACCAGATGCTCCTCAACAAATAGGTAGTTGTTAAATTTGTGTTATTTTATTTTTACATTTGAGGTTAAGCTATGAGGTTTATTAAAGACGTCATCAAACACTCTTGGACCCAGTACCGTTTCCTAATGTTACCTCTGGCTCATAATTTAATTTCCTCTGTGTTGCTTTAGAACTGAAGCAGTAATATGTTTCTCCAACAGATATAGACACCCCCAAGAAGCCTAAACACAGTTGGCTTTGGTCCAAGTGCTGTTGTCCTCAGCTGCTGGCATTCTTTGCTCTATGCAACAAATTGACGCAAGAAATATAAAGGTTCTGTGCAAAAGTCTTGAGTTATACGTTGCACCTTTTTTTATTTTATTGGGAAAAAGCTAGACTGATAATAAAGAATATATATATATATATATATATATATATATATATATATATATATATATATATACATATATATATATATATATATATATATATATATATATATATATATATATATATATATATACATATATACATATATTGGTTAAGTTCAATTAATTGTTCTTTGTTAGACCACTTACTTTAATATTGACCAACGAATCATCTAAGTTTAAAAAGGTACTTTATAAGAACCAGCATTATATCTTTGCAAAAAAAGGACAATTTAGGATATAATTCAATATAATTTGTATTTTACACATTTTGTTGCAAACAATGTGTTGCAAAAACACATCATTTGTTCTCAATTCTTAATTGCATCACTGAAAAATGCTGATGTATTTAACAAGCTTTCTGTATATTGCATCAACAAAGTAGCTATTCCCAAGAAAGTTCCTGTAAAGTTTTAACAAAGTTTGTCTTCTTAGAAGCAAAATAAACAGAACTTAAGAATGCCTCAAGACTTACATAATAGTGTACATTATGATGTACAAATTTAGTTAGATGCATGAAATTGTGTTTGGAAAGCGCCTGTGTGAAACTATACTTTGTAGTTTCAAGTTCATTTACAACTATCAACAGGTACCACTGAAACACTTTATCAAAATAAGATTTTTTTTCTTGTCTTTTGCAGTGATATAATAAGATAATAATTAGTTAACCTAACCGATGGACCTACATCATACTGCAAACCACTTTACGCCATAAAACGACCAGTGATCAGTGACATTTTCTCAGTATTCACTTTTGTCTGATGAGTAAGCACGAGTATGGGATGAGCCAAAGCAATTAGCTAGCTCCACAGCAGTATAATCTTGTTAGCCACATTAGCACAGACTCTGGCTAGTGTTCATTTTAAAGACGAGCCTGAAGCTCCTAAGGAAATGTAGCATCGTTTTGTTATAGTGCCTCCAGAACCCAAAAAATTATTGTTGTACTTTACAGATACTGGATGTGCATGTAGCCAGAGTTTCAGGAGCAGGGCTAAAAGTAGCACTGTTTTTCTTTTTAAACTTACCTCCTTGTTCGTCCAGCATGACCAGAGTCCTGATGCCGGCATCTTTACTCTAACAGATGTAATAAAGAAAGGGCAGGAAGGGGAAAACAGGAAAGAAAAGGAATTAAAGTGACAGATGAGTGAAGGTTGAGAGAGCTGAACAAAGCAGAAATATCAGGACAGCAGAAGTGGATCAAATAACAATTTGAAATCACATTTTTGAAATGGATATATGGCAGCACAGCAGACATATGGCTTTAAAGGATATTTTGTCTTGAATAAAGGTCAAATGCACTAAATTTGACAGTTTTTGTGTCACTATTGATACTTAAAATTGTGAAGTTGTCAGGATATTTGCTTTCTTTGTCTTCCTGTGTTGTCTGGAAAATGTGATTGGTTGTACAGTTCTATTTAATCCCTATTTAAAATCCAAACATCAAAGACTTGACATAAAAATTAGGTATAGTTACTGGAATTATGATAACAAGTTTAGTAATGGTCTTAAATTAAAACAGTTTTAGTAACAATGTTAGGTTAAAACAGTTTCACTAACAACTTTCCTATTAGTGGTAGGTTAAAATAACTTTGGTAATTGTGTTAAATGAAAACACATTTTCTAACGGAGATAGGTTGAAAGTTATGTTAATATCTTTACTAACAGTGCTAAAACTGTTAGTTAACATGTTTGTGCAGCCCACAGCTGGAGAAAAAGCTTCCTCCTGCACCTCTGTGCAGTCCACACTGCAGGATAAGCTTCCTGCTGCAGCTGCAGAGAAGTGGGCGTGGCCAAGAGCGCAGGCAGGTGGCACAGAGCAGCCGAGGCAGAGAGCTGAAATCATGACATTCTGTGCTCTTTTAGAGAGTTTACATTGTTTAGAATATTTATGTAGTAATATAGTATAATAATAAAGTAAATACATGTTTTAAAATGTAGGTTTTATTTTATGCAAAGTATTGTTTTCTATTTTTGTTTTTGACAATAAAATTACTTGCATTACCTTATTTTATAAACCTAAACATCTCCCATTAGGTCATTAAAAGTCTGAAATGTACAAAATAACACGCTGTGAACTGTAACTGTGACTTCGTCAGCTTTTAAAGCTCGTTCGTCTAATGGTTGGAACCAGTTGTCACCAGTGGCTGGTGAGGGGTCAGAGGACTGTTTCAGCTCTGCCTTGTTTTATTTTATCACCTTGTTTAGGCAGCATGTGTCAAACACCAACTCAACATAAAACCCAGCCATGAAATGAAACTCTAAAATGTTGTAACTCCCCAGAAAATCAGCACAACTCTTTTAATAAAAAGGTAGAACCCTGCATTGGTTCTAGTAATACTTATTTTACACGTGCTTCATTGGTTCAGATTTTTGTCCTGCTTTCAGAGATTTGCAGACAAAGCTCCACTAATGAAATGTTCTGGTTAGGCCCACTAAACAACTATTCTGTTCTTTCTCACAACGTAGGTTTGCTTTTATATCCAATGCTTCGATGATCATGAAATCACTCAGTGTGCACGCAACTAAATAACAGTTTTGCTCTCCGTGGATCTGACAGATATTAAAACACAGAAGCCATTCTGTTTACGCTTGAGTTGTTTTTCATTAAAGTGTGCACTGACCTTTTAAGAACACAGATAAATATCAGTAACACAAAGGTGGCTCGTACTAATATCACTCCAACTGACTGAAATGTGTGTTCATGAGTGGTCTTGGACCGGCCTCAAAATGAACCCAAACTGATGTTGTGCTCAGAGATTTTTAATTCTGTAAGACTGAATGGAACTGAAAGGAAAAATATAGCTCAGCGGGTGTGAGGAAGAGTAAAATGATTGATCGTGGATGTTCAGCAGAGTTATTGTTGGCAGGTTTATAACTCTGGTGGGAGAACTGCTGGTTTACTTTAAAAAAACCGTGGGAAATCAGATATACGTGAGGCAGACTTCAGAACTACAGGACAGGATATCTCACAGTGCCAGCTGGCAGAATCCGATGTGTGTCATCACTTCTTTATATATGAGGCCAGTCAAACACACACACACACATACACACACACACACACACACACACACACAGTCAGGTCTTGTTCACACTTTGTTGTGAGTCACCTGAATTCGTTTAACAGTTCTTCCTGATATAATTCCTTTAGGATACGAACAAGAAAAGGTGCTTTAAAGACATTATTATGTTTTTTTTTTGCTTTTATCGTTTTATGTTTGTCTAGAAGCAGTACTGACACAAGACAGATCACATTCTTTTTTATTATTTATTTGTAAATTTGCGTTTTTTTTCTCCCTAACCCAAGTTGTGAAAATGATTTAAAGGTGTCACTAAAAGAGCTTCACTGTGGGTCAGCTACAGTCCCTCAGGATAGACACAACTGATCATTTCAGTGAGATCTTCACTCAGCTGTCTCCTGAAATCTGCTCAGTATTCAGTGAGAAACTCACGTGTTGGCCTTCTGCTCTGCTTTTTGGTACAACAACAACTCAAAGCAAACACAGACTCACAGCGACCAAGATTTGGAGTCAAATTAATCGTGTTTATCTGATTACTTAAATCCATTTATTTATGTTATTAATGTTCAAACATCTATACTGTAAAAGCAAATGACTGACTTGTGGATGACCATTTAAATGCCTTGAGTTACGCACTTTGGCATTTGGTTTGCTGACTGAAAATCACAAAAACTCCAAAAGAAATAAAAATCTGCCCTACAGACTGTTTTCATTTTGCTTGTTCACAAACCTGCACGTGAGACTGTACCTTTCTAATGAGGATAATACTTGGATGAATAAAGCTTTATTAAAGATTAGAACCACAAACCTGTCAGAAAAGCTGTTACCTCCGATTTTAAGAAAGACGCGTTTGTCTTTTTGATCTAGGTAGCAGTCATTATCTTTGTAGATTTTATTGCTTTTGCAAAAGAGAGATCAGCTGCTTCTAGCCTTTTTGTTTTTTGTGCTAAATTGATGACTACAACTTTTTTTAAGCATAAAAGTGGTGACATTTTTTCTATTTAGCTCACTTCAAGAAAGAGGAGTATCCTGATGCACTAACCATCAGTCGTTTGGCTGATGGTCCTGCTTTATTATGTGAACAACTAGTTTTGGTTGATCCACTATGAGAAGGGGCTGTTTATAAGACTGAGTTTATTGCAGCTCCTCTGAATGAAGAAGTCTTCTGGATAAAAGACTAAACGTTTCAACAAGTAGAATCGATCCAGAGGACCTGAAAACGTTGTTAGATGTAGAATTTGTGTTGCGTGTGATGTTCAGATGTACTGCAGATTCACTTCAGCAGCTGCTCAGGTCAATAAAGTTTCAGACCTTCCATCTTGACACCTACTCAGTTCATTTATAAGGCTGTGCAACAACTTAGTGGATGTGGCAGTCAGCTGATGCAAGGAGACACATAAATAAAACACAAGATTTTCATCAGCCCTGAGTATGAATTATGGGTCACATTCGGAGGAGACAAGGGAATGTTGCATCACTCAGAATACAGTAAGTGTTGCCATACTCTGCCACGAACTTAATAGCTGAAGCATAATGAATTCAAAAGCCCATTTTTTGTGTGGATTGTACCATAAAAGCATATTTTCAGAAAATATTTTGTCCCTGCACATTATAGTGCTTGTGTAGGAGTATTAAATAAATGTATAATAAAGTGGATTTAAATAGACAGGACAATAAACTGAAAAATGTAAGGTGATGACGTCATAAAGATATATTTCAATAGAAATCTTTGCATTTCACATTATACATTTGCATTATCCGCTTACAGCACAGATACATAAATGATTACTAGAAACAATTCATCTTTTAAAGTCTCAGAGAACAGTACAAAAATAATTTAGAGCTAAAGTTACAGCTTGTTTTTCAGTACTCTAGCATATATTTTCCTGATAGATCAAATAGTCAAATAGATCCTATTTTATTTCTTGGCTGCAGACTACAGGAGGTTAGCCTAGCTTAGCTCAGAATGCAGGGGCTAAAATTCTGTTTTTTTGCACCTGTAAAGTTCACAAGTGTTAAAGATTTCATGAGTCTGTCGAAGCACCAGCAGAAACTCCACAGATGGTCATTCTGCATCGATTAGTGTCAACAGGGGCGCTTGTTCTTGGAGTTTGTCGGATTTGGAAAAAATTAGGCAATCTGTTAACTCTTCTTTTTCCAAGAGCTTCACAAACCAACTCCCACTTCCATCTTCATAATTAACTCAGTGGCATGAAAGTGATTCTTACACTTACAGATAATTTATTTCTCTGAATGTGAAACAAATTATTTTAATGTACAGTCTGAAAAGATCATTTAGAAATGCAGTAAGATTATGTAAATTGACTTGAACTGAACAACCATTTACTCTCTATGGATAATGCTTGAATGAACATTGCTAAATTAAATTGTTTTAATTTGTTTCTCATACTGGTATTTCTCTCATGAACATGATTTAATACTAAATGAATAAGGACTAGTACTTTGATACGGTCCAGAGCTCTGCACAACAACTCAACTCTTTTAATCCCTATATTTTTTACTTTTATGAAAGAAAGCTGAAACAAATTCAAACCAGAACAGGTCTGAACAAACAGACGTGGAGCTGAACTCTGGATAAAGGTGCTTGCAGTAAAGCCCTAACGATATGGAAATTTTGGCTATTGCCGATACCAATATTGGGAGGTGCTGCAGCGACCACAGATAACTGATATAATGGTTGAAAATATTTTAGCTTTGTCCATCCACAAGAATCTAAGAAAACAGCGAGTGGAGCGGGGCTTGTTTATTTAGCCCGGCTGTTAGCAACCATGAAGCTAAGCTAATCAGATCCATGCTATACCTAGTCCCACACTAGGTTTAAAGGTAGTGCACTGGTCATAAAAAACAGGCTTCCTAACATGCATTCACATTTTCTATCCTCCACTCTTCAACATAAAGTTATCAAGTTTGTTATAAAAATATAAATTAAAAAAAGAAACGCCCTTTCCTGTTCATAGTTCAAACAGTCACGTTTGGTAAAGGCCTAGTTAGTATTGATCGTAGCAGCGTTTTTTTCTTCTATTTCTTTTTTGCAGAGAAGTTAAGATTTCAGATAAACAACGCATTTCATTGAGGATGACCAAGATAACGTTACTAACACTGATATACATTTACCTCTACGTTCGATTTATTGTTCTGGATAAAGTTTTACAAGGCAATAGCCTATGCTATGTTATCTAAACATTAGCTTGCTACTTGACATACACATAGCAAATGACAAGAGGGTTGGAGGATTGAAGATAATTTATTATTGTTGATTTGTTTTGCAGGTAAGTTAAAATAAACTTAGCATGCTCTGTTTGGCAAAACACGCTACACAGTTGCTCCCTTCTTTGTCTGTGCTGAATGTGAAAGTGAAACTTAAGTGAACGGTAATGACTTGAAAATAGTCTTCATGTGCCCTCTGCTGAATACATTGTACAATTATGGCTGGTTCCAGCATTTTAGAGGTGAAAATTAGAAGTGCTTATATCAGTGCATAATGGGATAATTATCACAGATACCGATAGGCCCCCAAATGTCTATATCAGCTTAAATTATTGGCCCTACTGGTATATCGGTTGGGCTCTAGCTTTCACTACTCTAATCACTCGCCAATTTGTTCAGTTAGTGTAAGCTTGACAAAAGACTGCGATCATAGTGTACTACTTACACTTTACTGCATGAAGGAATGCAACGAGAAGTTGCATCAAACATGCATCAAACTGCATCATCAAACATGAACCTTTGCTCCACTGAATCTTGATTATTTAAACCATGCTTAAAGACGCAAAGCAAAATACGCTATCAAACCTAAGGACATCTTGAGACAGTTGGAACAAATAGTTGTCGTTTTCTTTAGAGGTCAGACATGCAGCTCTATCTGTGGAGCAGGTAGCTTAGACCATCTGCAGGCCTCACTCTGAACCCTTCTGGCTGTGTCTCATTAGGACATAGTGGATTGTCCAGAGGATAGATGGTGGGGTATGGCAAAGTCAAAGTTTCTTTATTTGTAATACGTCAGGTCATCTGGATGTTTTTTTTTTTTTTTTTCTGTGGTGGAATGAAATTGTGTACACAGTGTTGTTTCTTTCATTTGCAGAAAAGTTGTTTTTAATCATTAGTAAAACTTAATTACCGGTACTCATAGCAATAAATGTAAAGAAAACAAGCAGAGGGTATAATTTGAACATAACAGAATCATTGTTTATAAAACTATATCTGAGAGATTTGGTAATGATGTTGGAAATTAGCAGGCACTCGAAAAAATATCTGACAGGTTGTTTCTGACCATTTTTGGCATAACTTAAGTTAGAAGCATTTACACAAACCTGCTTTCACTACAACCAAAACATACAATAGGCTGCCAGAAAAAAAAAAAAAAAAAAAAAAAACTTTCTTTATTTAGCAAGTCAGGCCTGACAAAATAAAATATTAGACCTACAATTAATATTTTGCTCCTCACAAAATATTATTTTAACATATAATAGACAATTTGGTATTAAAGGAAAGAGCAGGACAGATGAGAACCTGAAAAACTATATGTGCAGGTGTAAAGTGGTGTTTTATATTCACATATTTCATGTCTTATGCAGTTAGCATAGAGCAAGGATTATATGTTGCAAAGCATCTTCAGTTTACAGCTTTTGTCATTCAAGTTCTTTCATGGACAGTATTTTTACAGATGTTTAATGAAACAAAAGTTGTTTTTTCATACATGAACTGACTGTAGAAGCATAAGTGTAAAGACATTTGCACAAGTCAGAACAATTTATCCATCAGCGGTTAGATGGATCTTAGTAAAATGGTGGTCTTCTTTCATTTATTAGACCAGAGGGTTGGGAGCAGGGTGTTTGTTTTGACAAGAGACTAAAAAGGATCTGTGACAGCCTGAAAGAATTAATCAGGATAATTTTGCAGCTTTTATCAGCTGGTGAAACTCTTTTTCTTATTTATGAGTTCAGATGAATGCAGTATTTACTTTTTATTCATACTGTGAAGAAAAGAGACGACCACAGAGTCATCCTCTCAACTTGGCAGCTTTGCAAATGTTCACAAAATGATAATAAAAAGCATCAAGTTCGGAGTGGCTTTGGGAGTGAAGTGTGGTTTAGTAAAAAGAAATAAACAAACAAAACAAACCTAGAGTGCAAACACAAATATATATTTTAATTTTCACTATAAATCAACCTCTGTGTGCAGATGTTATGTACCTTGTTTCTAAATAGCAGCATATAAAAATGTCACAGTTGTTGGTGACACATTGAATCATGTCATTGAATCAATGGACTCACCTCCTCAACCAGAGCAAGCATACGTCGAGTGCTCTCCAGAGACTGCAGGGAGAGAGAGAGGATAGATCATGAGCTGCAAGTCCAGAGGAACACAGAAACAGAAAGGACAGGCTCTGCAACAACGATCACACCTCTGTGCTTTCCTAAGGCCAAGGTAAACAGACTGTGTAGGAACACATATCAAAGTCATTCTGTTATAAACTTAATCCTGCTTCAGTCAGGTCATCTGGACGTTTTATTTATTTATTTATTTATTTTTGCTGAGACGTTGCGTCCTTCATCCAAAGGACTTCTTCAGTCCGAGGAGCCATAAACAAACTGGCGTCCTTCAAGCACCTCACTCCCATAGTGGAAAAATGTGCAGGTGTAATAAATGTAAAGAAAACAAGCACTCCCACTATGGGAGTGAGGTGCTTGTGAGACTCCAATTTGTTTGTGGATCCTCAGACTGAATAAGTCCTTTGGATGAAGGACAAAACATCTCAGAAGAAAAAAAAAAACATCCAGATGACCTGACTTAACATTGTTGGATCTGTACCTGGATTATTGAGCATGAACTTTGGTGTTAATCCCGTTTATTTCTCTCACTTTGATGACTTCAATGACTCCTACTTTTAGCTTAACTCTACAGAATCCCTTCCAATGACATCATTTTATTTAATTAATATGTTTCTCTGAATCCCATTCCTTTAGAAAATTTCTCATCTCTGGCTTCTCCTCTGCCTCCATAAACTCTCACACCATTCCCTCCATCCACGGCTGCCTCTTGGCCTGCTTTATCTCCTCATGAATGTTTAATGAGGCCATTTGAGCTCTTCTATTATTCCGCTGCACTGAATTATCTGCTATTCCTGAGCTCCTCTCAGCTCATTAGAAAGGCCAAAGTTCTTCCTTATCCAAAATAAATAGACAGACTATGAAAAAAAGAGAGACTTTCAGTGCTAACGGAACGATCACAACAGAGGAACTGTCCGTCAGCCCAGAGGCGTTCACAGGTACATTTGTGTGTTCTTACAAGAACATTTTCAAATGTCAAATTATAATTGGCATGTCACAAAGGAATGTACCTTTCACTGTGGAGGACGTTAAGCCTCACAGTGTGTCCATGGTCTCTGCTCCCTGTTCTGACTTCAGCAGCGACTTATGATTTAATATTGAATGGTTTATTTTAGACAAAATGCCAGAAATTACATGTTTGTCCACATAATATTCTAAAATGTTTTGTTTTTTTTCCCCCACAAGGTTGTGTGTGTTTACGGTACCTCATCGGCAATCTGGTCTGCTCGTGTCTGCAGGTCGGACAATTCGTTGCGCATGTCTGCTTCATCTGCCATGATGCCTGCTGATCTTTGACCTCAATCAGAATGAACTGGGGGGAAACAGAGATAAGACAATTGTATCGTTTGTGTCTTGGATTATATAGTTTTAAAAGGAGGAAGTGAAATATTTGTGTAGTGCTTAACAGATGTCCAAAGTGTAGGGACACATCTTTCTACCATCAACTTTTATTCTTTTGATACTTTGAAAGTAAGACTGACTCTCATTCCCAAAGCTGGACAGTAAGAAACCATGTTACAAAAAAATGAATAACAAAAATCTGTTATTGTAATTAATTGCACGCTTGTTATTATGATTTCAGCAAAGCTGAAAGGCCCTTTGTATGAGAACGTTTCCACCTGACCTTTGAAATATAACATCTGAGCGTTATGTGTATCTCTTCCTAAAAGGGAGGATTCGTCCTGCAGTCTTAGAGTGAGGGAAAGAACCACCCTATTGTTCCTCAAGGACTCTTTGGTAGTAGTGAATTTATGAAACATTGTCATCCCACGGTAGAAGTTATTTTTCTGAACAATTTAAATTTCTGAGTTCTCCTGAACACATTTGAATGTTTTGCTGTAAAACTGCTATGAAATAACTTATCTCCTTCTTTCTCAGTTCAGTACTCAGTTTAATCATGCAAAAGACAAAGTAGATGTAAAAAAACTGGTAATCAAGGTTTCATCTGTTATTTTCACAAGTTCTAATGAAAATGTTTATGGATGAGTCAAAGTGCTTAGAAGTTTTAATTATCCTGCTGTTATATTGAGTATTTACCAAAGCAGAGTAAATTAGCCATTTGTTTTTAATAATGTTATTAAAGTTCAAATGAAACAGTAACCTGAAACAAAGGTCCACCCTTTCTGTTTTGATTGGGTCAATATTGTTAACGCCCCCCTAAGTCAGAGAAAAGTTATTCTGCCGTTTAGTTTAGAGCTCAGTCTTGGGGGAAGCTTTTGAAGGAGAAAGATCAAGCAATCGAAAATTTATTTCAGAAGATAAGTTCCATGCAGAAAACGCAGCCCTCCGGAAGCCCATCAACTGACCCATTGGGAGCCTAACTATCGACTCCAGAATTCAGCTGATGTCCAGTGTCGAGGGAATCCCAACTTCGACGCTTAACTCAGCTCAAGAGAGTCCCTGGTAATCCTCGGGCGGTTGAACTAGAACTTCAAATCGGTAGGAAAAGCTGCTCCTTCTCTCTCTGCTGGTGTCTGGTGCTCAAGATAAGAAGTTGTCCAGTCCAAACAAAATTCATCATTATTAATTAGAATTTTTTCCTAAATTGACAAATCACATCTGGCCAAAACACTTCTTTTAGTTAACTTTATAGATGATAATTTAATCTGCTTTTGAACCTCATAATTCACCATATTAAAGTTTAGAAGATAATTCCATAACCTCTTCTTGTGTTGTCAAATTAAAGCCATTATTCATTCTTCAGCTGTACTCATCATTTGGACCACTTATATTTACCAAAATCGATAATAAACTTCACAAAATTGTACTTTTGACTCAAAGCGTTTTTTATTATATATGACATTTGAATTTAATACGAAAAGAACTCACTAGAGCACGTAAACTTGAGTCTGATTTCATATTTTTCTTGCTTAAGAACCGGAAAGCAAGTGGTGCCCCTTTCAGAATAAAATTACTAATCAAAATTCAACGATCTGAGGACCCCTTCCTCTACAAAATCCATCTTTTGCCCATGTGATTATTGTAGCTGTAGAGAAATTAAACTTGTATGTTTAGGATGACTCAGCTCCTACCATACAAAGTTTAAGCTAAACATCTGTAAAACTGACCATGTTCCAACCATTTTTTGTTGCAAAGGTTGATTGGCTGTGGCAGCCATCTTGACGGATGTAGTAGATGTACGTCTCCATAAAATGTGTCTTCCGAAAAAGCACAAACAAGTACACACTCGCTCACATTGCACACATTGTGGCTTTAATGCACTAAATTCCTTCTTCCCTTCAATTGTTTACTGGACTTCAGAGGGAGAAATATACATTATATTTTTACAAGCAGACTTTTGTCAGTCACAGTATGAGACTATGGCTAAAAGACAGCACAGGTAATGACCACAGTCGGGGGGGAACAAAAACAACATTCCATTGTACATTGATGTCCAGGAACAGATGTGTAAGAGGGATCAGAGAGAAACGACACACAACACTTTAATCTCTGCAGAAAAAACTCTTGTAGCAATTAGATTTTACAGCAAGTCCCTCGGGTGAAAAACTAAAAGGGATTTTCACTTTGCAGACAACTTTCTGATTCGTGAAGCTAAAACCGACAGAAGAGGCGTTGCAAACATGAGAGTTTAACATATTCAAAAGGCTATAGGTTCATGGAATATACATATTACATTTTATTAAAAAGATTCAAAAGAGAATATCAGAGTATCAAATGAACTGAAATTAAAGGCAAAACCTCCATCTAACACCCAGTCAGACGACTCACCTTAGACCCAGCCAGATGAACCACCATGACTCTGATTTCAGAGTGAAATCAACAGTTCATCAAGACGAACAAGAAACATCTATTCAGGATACAGCACCAGAACAGAGGCAGGAGTCTATTTTTACAGCGCTCATGCTCAGCCAGATAATATTTCACACAAAGACACAGAGCAGCCTGTGAAAAATAAATGTTCTTGTTCTTCTTCAGTTTGATTGAGAGACATCCTGCTGCTCCTATTTGAGATGAAGAACAAAAGCAGCTCTGACTGTTCCCTTCCCTCCTTCACACACTGTCTCACCGAATTAGGACTTTGATTAGGCAAATAATCTCATCTGGTTCAATCAGCTCTCATTTGTTAGTCTAATGCCTTTGTGTTTCAGTTGCACAAATCGTCCTCCAGAGGAGCTTGTCACTGATATAAAAGTAACCACCCAGCTGCTTTCAGATCGAGGATCATTAAAGCTTTATGTGAGTTAATCTACTGCGAATGACAGAGAATCAGGAGACAACTGCCACTTGGTGTCAATCAGGAGTTGTGGTGAGGGATCTTTTAGTCTGCTTCAGCAAGTTACAATGTTAAAACTGGAACAGTTGTGTGTTATAAAACGGAAATACCAAGATCCATCCATCCATTATCTTTACCCGCTTCTTCCTTTACGGGCTGCGGGTGCACATGTCCAGCAACCACTGTGCGAGAGGCGGGGCACACCCTGGACAGGCCCCAAGTCCATCACAGGGACGTATAGAGACAAATGAGACAACCATTCACTCTCTCACTCTCACTTAGGGACAATTTAGAGTTACCAATTAGTCTAACATGCATGTTTTTAGTTGGGGAGGAAACCCACACATGCACAAGGAGAATGTTCAAACTCCACCTAGAAAGGTCACAGGCTGTGATTCAATCAGGCAGCCTTCTCATTGAGAGGCGACAGTGAGACTCTACCAACTGCGCCACCGTGCTGCAGCAATACCAAGAAGTGATATTTTAACTTACAGGTAACTAGGCCTGTCACGATAACTAATTTTGTTGGGGGATTAATTGTCTCAGAAATTATTGCGATAAACAATATTATTGTTTGAAATGTGACAATAATTAGTAATTATTGTCACATTTAAAAATAAATGTTTAATTTGTTTTGTGTGTACTACCTTTTTACGACCACCTGATGGCAGTATAAGACCGTTTGAACCGAAGGATGGATAGTGAGGGAGCGAGGAGCGTGTGTCTTTAAGAAAAATGGGAGGGAGGCCTCTTGACGTGACATGGGCTGTCTTTCTTCAGTTCTCAAAATGGCGGACAACCGGTGTGGTTTGACATCTTTAGCATAACATTTTTCACATAAAGCTTTTAATAAAAATATCAGTAAACAAGTTCTCAGCTTCTTTTTGCAGCGAAAAACAACTTTTTACACAAAGACACGGGTTTCAACTGTGAATTTTAGAGCTTCGACAAGACGGAGGGGTTTTTTCCCCCCGAGGTCGGCCTGTTAATTTAGCTCGTAGCTTAGCTTTTCAGCTTAGCTGCTTTTAACGATCCAAAAACACAATTTTGGACGGTTAAAATGGATTTAAAAGAGAAAGGGAGGGGTCAGTGAAGAACACCGGAGTTGAGTCTTTTGTCATCCAGTGTCTTCAGTAGAAAGAGAGAAACACGAAGAAACGCTAAAACCGATAAATGAAAATGAGGTCGATAATTTTCATTTATCATGCAATTAATTGATTTATTGTTTATCGCGACAGGCCTACAGGTAACAATACAAATAGAAAGCTCCTTGTGAATCAATGTACCCCCCTTTTTTTTAAAAAAGGTAAATACTAGTTTCCTGCTCATCTATTGAATTTATCAGTCAGTCACGTGATCCACAAGCAGACAAGGTCATTTAGAGGCCCAGCTGGATATTTGATAATGTATCCCCTTGTTCTGTGTCACCTTCTGTCTCTTCCCTTCTTCGCTATGGAGTCGTCACATAAGTTAATAATTGAACATGTGCCGGGAAAAGAAATGAAGGGGAGGGGGGCAAAACTGTGTCCTCAAAGTGCTTCTCCCCTGCTTTCATGCTCTGTGTGTGTGTGTGTGTGTGGGGGGGGGGGGGGGGGGGCATTTTTTTTGTCTGCTATTTCTGCAAAGGAAAACTTTGCAATATTTATGTTGACATTTTATATTTTAATTCTTTGTCAGATGCTGCAATCCAAAGTACCAAACAGTATGAGGACTGACTTTAAACAACAGCAGCACTGCAGGTGAACTTAAGGGTAGCAAGGTTTACATGATGCTAACACAGAGAGAGGAAAAACTACATTAGCTTAGCTCAACAGAAATCTGTCTTTGCTTCAATTAGAAACACTGAACACTTCAGTTTGTTAAAGGTCTAAACAGGCCAATCAAACACTACCAAAAAACACAAAAATATGTTGCTTTATTCTGGTTATTATGTGTTCTGATAAACTGTAAAAAATAAAATAAAATGAATGTAGTTGGGACTCACTTCATGCTCATTTGAAACCGTGTTGCTGTGGTTTGGTTGTCAGTAACAGCAGTATTATTAAAGATCTCTACAGGTAAATATCACAAATTTCACA